TTATTTATTTATTTAGTGTGTGTGTGTGTTTTTAATATATTTTATTGATTCTTTTATAGAGAGGAAGGGAGAGAGATAGAGAGCCAGAAATGTCGATGAGAGAGAAACATCGACCAGCCGCCTCCTGCACACCCCCCACCGGGGATGTGCCCGCAGCCAATGTACATGCCCTTGGCCGGAATCGAACCCGGGCCCTTTCAGTCCGCAGACCGACGCTCTACCACTGAGCCAAACCGGCTTCGGCTCTTTCTTCTTTTAAACCAATGAGCAAGGCCCAAAGGGGCTCTCTCCCTCCTCTGGCTAACGGAGGACGGCCAGCACCTCAGGCCGCAGTCCTCTCCGACTCTCACCACCGCTTCAGAGAGACGAGGGGCCGTCTCAGAGCCCCCCGTCCACTTGGCTCCATCCACGTGTGTCTTTACTGTCTCTGGAGCCATTGCTTGTTGCTTTGGTTTCTTTAAAAAACACACACACAACACCCCACAGCCTGCTTCTAGGGGCTGGGCGGGCGGGCAGTGCCCGGGGCCTCGCTAACCGGCTCTCTCCGCCGCAGCCTTCATCCTCCCCAAGGCGGAGATCTGCGTGCGGAACCACGTGCAGCCCTACATCCCCTCCATCCTGGAGGCCCTCATGGTGCCCACCAGCCAGGGCTTCACCGAGGTGCGGGACGTCTTCTTCAAGGAGGTCACCGACATGAACCTGAACGTCATCAACGAGGGCGGGGTGGACAAGCTGGGCGAGGTGAGGCCCCCCGCCTGACCCGGGCCGGCAGAGGGGCCGGGCACAGCGGGCTGGGGCTGCTGGGGGCCGGCATCAAGGGAAGGGGACCCCCCCCAGCCTTTATAAGCCGAGTGGGTTGTAGAACAGCAGACCAGAGAAGGGAGGGAGGGAAGGAGGGAGGATGGGAGAGGGGAGGAGAGGAGGAAGCAGAGGCGAGTGCAGAGACGAGGTGTGAGGTTAAGGTAGAAGTAGGTACGGCGAGCCATTCTTGTGCCCCGCGCACAGACGGCCCAGCTCTCCCTGTCCCTCGGTTGTCTGGTTCTTGGGGTGAACGCCTTCACAGACCCCATTCTGAGTACTCGGCTGCCTGGAGCCCACATGGCTGTCAGGTGAAGAGAGAGATCCCATCTTAGCCTCCTCTCTACCTTAAATTGGAGAGTCTCCAGACGACATCACCATGGAGTCTGAGAACCAGAAAGGAACTTAGAGGTCAGGAGAAGCCGTGGGACTCTGAGGCTGAGGAACCTGAGGCTCAGAGAGGCCGAGTGCCCTGGCCCAGGTCCCCCCGCGCCCAGGAGGGAACAGGACCCAGCAGCTTCCAGGCTGTGCTGCTGGACCCTGTTCCTCCGGCTTCCGGTCCCAGCCCCGGGGCCGTGGCTCCGAGGGCCAGGCAAGGTGTGGGCCTGGGGTGGCCTGCCACGCAGGTGGCCCCAGCTCAGGTCCCGCCTCCCCGCAGTACATGGAGAAGCTGTCCCAGCTGGCGTACCACCCGCTCAAGATGCAGAGCTGCTACGAGAAGATGGAGCCGCTGCGGCTGGACGGGCTGCAGCAGCGCTTCGACGTGTCCAGCACATCCGTGTTCAAGCAGCGAGCACAGATCCACATGCGTGAGGTGGGCCAGAGGCTGCTCCCGCACACCCCTCGCCCTCTCCCTCCCACAGCCCCCATCTCCCGGGAGAGCCCCCACCCGGGCCCACCCTCCTCTCCTGCGCCCGGCACCCACGCCCGGCCCGTGTGTTCGGAACACCTGTCTCTGCTCACCTGGCTGATTGGAACTCATCTTTCAGTCTCAGCTTAGAAGCCCCTTCCTCCGTGCAGCCCTCCTTTCCTTACTCCCAAGCCCTTCCTGCAGGGCCCAGAGCCTCTTTCCTCTGTCCCTGAGGCAGGGCCTGCCCGGGTCCAGCCCTGTGCCAGCACCCGTGGGCACAGTGACGCTGTGAGGCGGGGGTGCAGTGAGCGCCCACGCCGCCCGCTCCTCCGGCGAGCTGGGGACAGCTGGCTGAGGGCCCTGGGAGGCCGCAGCGGTCACTCGGGGCCTGAGGTCACTCGGGCCTTCACGTGTCCCCTGGTTGTCCCGCAGCAAATGGACAACGCCGTGTACACCTTCGAGACCCTCCTGCACCAGGAGCTGGGGAAGGGGCCCACCAAGGAGGAGCTGTGCAAGTCCATCCAGCGGATCCTGGAGCGGGTGCTGAAGGTGAGGGGTCTGCCCGGCTGGCACCACGATGGCTGCCCCTAAGGGAGGCGCCACCGCCCTCTTGTACAAATGAGGACGCAGAGGCTGAGGCCAGACCGCCAGCCTCCCACCCTCCTGCCAGGGCCAGGGGCCACCGGCTCAGAACCCCCCTCTCTCTCCCGGCAGAAATACGACTACGACAGCAGCTCCGTGCGGAAGCGCTTCTTCCGGGAGGCGCTGCTGCAGATCACCATCCCCTTCCTGCTCAAGAAGCTGGCCCCCACCTGCAAGTCGGTGAGCAGCCCTGCCCCTCAGCCCCTCCCCCAGCCCCCTCAGCCCCTCCCACAGCCCCCTCAGCCCCGCCCACAGCCCCTCAGCCCCTCCCACAGCCCCTCAGCCCCTCCCACAGCGCCCCCCCCCCCGTTCCCCTCAGCCCCTCCCACAGGTCCCCCCCCCCCCGTCCCCCTCAGCCCCGCCCACAGCCCCCTCAGCCCCTCCCACAGCCCCTCCCACAGCGCCCCCCCCTTCCCCTCAGCCCCTCCCACAGCCCCCTCAGCCCCTCCCACAGCCCCTAAGCCCCTCCCACAGCCCCCTCAGCCCCTCCCACAGCCCCTCAGCCCCTCCCACAGCGCCCCTCCCCGTTCCCCTCAGCCCCTCCCACAGCCCCCTCAGCCCCTCCCACAGCCCCTCAGCCCCTCCCACAGCGCCCCTCCCCGTTTCCCTCAGCCCCTCCCACAGCCCCCTCAGCCCCTCCCACAGCGCCCCCCGTTCCCCTCAGCCCCTCCCACAGGTCCCCCCCCCCGTCCCCCTCAGCCCCGCCCACAGCCCCCTCAGCCCCGCCCACAGCCCCCTCAGCCCCGCCCACAGCTCCCCCCTCCCGGTCCCGGGAGCGGAGCCAGCCTGACCAGCGCCCTGGCCGGTGGGATCCGCGGACCCTCTGCCGCCAGGCCCTGACTGCCCCTCCGCCCCCTGCCCGCCTCTCCTCGCAGGAGCTGCCCCGGTTCCAGGAGCTGATCTTCGAGGACTTTGCCAGGTTTATCCTGGTGGAGAACACGTACGAGGAGGTGGTGCTGCAGACGGTCATGAAGGACATCCTGCAGGGTGCGTGCCAGCCCCGGGTGCGGGGGGGGGGGTGTCGCTGGGAGCAGGGGTGGGGGTGGGGGCAGCCACCCCCACCTCCGCTGTGCCGGGTGGGATTCTTATTGCCAGGAGGGGGATGGAGGAGGCCGCCAGAGGCCGTTCTCGTGGGGTCAGTGAGCTGCAGAGACAGTCATGAGGTGTCATGAGGTGTCGGCCTGTGGGCTGTGCAGCCACAGGAGGGCAGCGCCCAGTCTCTGTGCCTTAGTTTCGGGCCGTGTCAGATGAGTGACGGGGTGGCACGGTGGTTGCCAGCTTGGGCTCTGGGTGAGGGTCACGGCGGCTCCTTCCTAGCAGTGAGGCCTGGAACGAGTCCCGGCCCAGGGACAGCACCCCGCAGGCCGGGGGAGGCCTCTGGGGGTGATGCTGGCCGCACCTGGGCACCGCGGAGGGGGGTGGCGTGTCCCCGGGCACATGTGCTCACGCCGCCCGTTGGCCCCGCAGCCGTGAAGGAGGCCGCCGTGCAGCGGAAGCACAACCTGTACCGGGACAGCGTGGTCCTGCACAACAGCGACCCCAACCTGCACCTGCTGGCCGAGGGCTCGCCCATCAACTGGGGCGAGGAGTACGGCGGCGGCGACGGCGGCGGGGGCGGCGGCAGCCCCGGCCCCCGGGCCCCGGAGGCGGCCACCCTCTCCGAGAAGCGGCGGCGCGCCAAGCAGGTGGTGTCCGTGGTCCAGGACGAGGAGGCGGGGCTGCCCTTCGAGGTTGGCCGCGAGCCACCATCCCCGGCGTCCCCGGACAGTGTCACCGAGGTCCGGGACCTGCTGGCCCAGGATCGTGGGGCCGAGAGCCCCCCGCCGGCCTGCCCCCTGCTCAACGGGGCCCCGTTGCCCGCGATCCCTGCGCCCTCACCACCTCCGCCCTCCTCGCCGCCTGCAGCCTCCTCGCCGCCTGCAGCCTCTCCGCGGGCCTCGCCCCTCCAGCAGCTCCCGCCTGGCAAGGCTGTGGACCTTGAGCCTCCAAAGCCCAACGACCAGGAGACCGGGGAGCAGGAGTCCGGCCCGGGCGGCCGGCCCCCCATCCACACCACCACCGAGGACAGCGCCGGGGTGCAGACTGAGTTCTAGGCCGGTCGCCCCCAGCTTCTGTTGGACACGGCACAAGGCCCCTCCCCCTGAGGCACCGGCAAGCTTGGCTCCTGGGATTTGGATTCGTGCCTCCAGGCGGGGCTGGGGCGGCTCCCCGGGCTGAGCAGGGACCGGCCCGCCTGAAGTCACTTTATTGGGTTTGTCGTACTTCGTTGCTGTCTTCTCTTCTGTGGGGTGATCTCGGCTTTCCTGCTTGGCTAGGGGTTGAGCAAAGCTGAGGGGCCTGGGGAGCACCGGTTCTCTCGGTCCTCCCCTCCTGCCTTTCCTCGTTGGCCCGTTTCCCTAAAGGGTCTTGCTATCCTGGCGAAGAGGGAGGTAAAGGCATCGTCTGCTGACTCAGAGCCCACGCGGCTCCTCCCCTCTCATCAAGGGCTCGTTGGAACCAGGAACATGGAGCGTCCAGGCCCGGCCCTGGGCCCCCTCCCCTCTGCTCTCCCAGGCAGGGCCCGGAAGCCAGTTTTGGAGTGGACGGGGCCTGGCTTTCCCCACCCGGATGAGGAATCATAAGGCGGGTCCTCAGGCCAGAGCCAGGCTGGAGGGTGGGGGGAGGGGCCACACGCCTGGGGCTGGAATATGCTGGTCTGGGGCGAGGAAGTGTCTGAGGGCAGGAAAAGGGCAGGAAAGAATGAGCCATGCAAGCAGGAGGCCAGAGGGCAGAGGTTGCTGGAGGCCGGGCTGGCCTGAGGCTTGCTGGGCTGGGCTGAGGGCAGCGGCCCCGCTCAAGGGCAGGGTTGTGGATTGTCTTCCAAGGGCCACCTCCAAGGTACAGCTGCCTGCAGCGGGAGCTCAGGGCTCCTGAGGGTCGCGGCTCCCTCCAGAGCACCACTGGTCGCCGCTCTGAGGGCTTGGGGTCAGGCTGAGGCTCGGCCCTTGCTGCCTGAGTCCTCAAGTCACCTCAGCCTGAACATTCCAGGCCCGTTTTCAAATGTGAGTCACTGAGGGCCCAACTGTCCTCAGCCCCGTCCCTGGGGGTGAGGGTCAGGCTGAGGCAACCCCCGGCCTGGCAGTCCCAGGCCCCGCCCCTGCTGCTTGGATGACAGGGTCCTCGGGGTGGGCCAATAAGTCCTGCACGCCCCCTCGATCCGCTTTCCGGGCCCGGGCCTTGGACCCCAGGGTGGACGGCAGTGGTTGGTGCCAGTGCCCCACCCTGCAGCCGGAAGTTCAAACACCTCACCAAACCTCTACCAACACATTCCGTCTTAAGATGCCCTCCTCTAGTGCCTTCTTTTGGGGTTTTCCAATCATTCCTCCCAGACATTGTATTGAAAACATTAAGCGAACTGTTCAAGCTTCTACTAATCAATAAATGCTTTATTTAAAGCCGGCGGCTCTGTGTGGTGCTGGCGGGAGGCCTGGCCTCTGGCCGGAGACTGGCTTTCTGGCTCACTTGCCCGAGGACTCCAGGTCAGAGTCCTCACTCAGCTCCCCCTGTTGGACAGAGGAGGAGACAGGCTCAGAGGGCAGACAGAGCACGGTGACTGCCTGCCTGCAGCTGCGCTTCCTCAGCTCGGTCTGGGCGGGGGTCCTCCCGGCAGTTTTAAGGCCCCGTGGCCGTGGGGCACCCACAGCTGGGTTGGGCCTCCGGCTCATGCTGGACCCAAACAACGATGCCATGTTTGCGAGACTCCTGACCACACGGCACCTGCTGTGGGCTGGCACCTTCCAGGACCAGAACCTGGCAGCAGCTCCAGCATGCGGTGCCATCATCACCATGTCACCAATGCATAAACTGAGGTTGAGGGACCCCCCACCACACACACACACACAACTGGTGGGGACGGCTGCCTCTTCCACGGGTAAAGACACGTTCCTCCTGGGTAGATGGGAGCGTCACTGTAGCGGATGTTGGTTTTCTTGGTACCAGGCTGCCCATGGTGGCCAGGGGCTGCGGGCTCGCCCACGAGGGCTGGGTGTGGAACAGCAGGGGCTGTGGGGCCACAGACCAGGGGTTCACCACGGCCTGGCGCCGTCCTCAGCGAGTCACTAACTCCACCTCAGGCGCCTCGCCTGTACGAGGGGAATCGCCAGTCCTTTCTCCCAGGACAAACGTGCTCTGCACAGTGGCTCTGCCCACCTCAGGCCTCCGCCTCCCCTGACTAGGGGAGCCAGCAGGGCGAGTGGGGAGGGGGAGAGAGGCATCGCAGGAAGAGGCCCCAGCTCCCCCCTGGAAAACGGGACTCACACAAGGAGCCTTTGTCCATTTCAGCCCGCAGGACTGATGGGCGGTCCCAAGAGGGAGGGGAACTGAGGCCCAGGGCCCTTTCTGCCACCCCAGGCCTGTCCCCTGCGTCCAGTTGGCTCTGGGCACTGCCCCTGGGGTGACCACCGGTCTCCATCAGGGCCCGTCATGCCCAGCATTGAACGGATGGGAAATAGGACGGGAAGCGGCCAGGCCCACGGGGGACAGCCAGCGGCAGAGCCCAGGCACCTGAGCCGGCCTGCCTCCAGCCCAGAGACAGCTCTGCCTGTGGCTCAAAACCATGTGCCAGAAAAGGCACAACAGCATGTCACTCTACAGCCAGAACAAGGTGCACGCTCCTGGGACTGCAATGAACAGCCTGCACTGCCCTCTCCTAGCTGCAGGTCCGGGCACCAGCCCCTCAGCCGGGCATAACCACAGCTTGGTCCTGACACAGCGCAACCTGCTCCGCTGACACCTGTGCCCTTCTCTCTGAGCCGTTTCTCCACCCGCCGCAGGGGTTTGCGAAACTTCACGTTGGGGAATGACTCTGCCTCCTCCCTTTCCTTCTGACCGAGGTGCAGTCCTCCCTGACCCCACTCCATCCCTGGACTCCTCCCCTCCATCAGGACCCAGTGATGACTCGAAGCAGCGGGCTGGGAGTGGGTTTATTGGCAGTCCTGCTTCGGGTCTGCAAAGCGCATCGCCTGCCCTTGGGCCGCACTGAGAGAGGTGGTGCAGGTCTGGAGAGCAGTGAGGAGGCAAGCAGGGGCTGACGTCGCCTGAGGCACAGGCCCGCACTGACCACGTTCCCGCCGATCGGACAGCCTGTGGCGGCCTGTGGCCTCTCCTCCCCCCATCAGGGCCCCCTGGCTCCCACCCCCTGGGCATGGGGCAGCACTGTCTGCGCTCCCCTGACAACACCGAGGCTCCTGGAGGGGCGGTGCCTGCCGGAGTCGGCTGGGGAGGGTGGAGCACACAGGCCAGGACACTCAGTCCCGTGCTCAGAGGGTGCCACCGCTGCCCTCCACACCCTCCCCAGTCCCAGAGTGCTCCCCTCTTCCACAGTGTCCAGGTCATCAGCTAGGAACGCTCGTTTCTGCCCAGCCGGCCAGCTGCTTGGAGATCAAGGGAGGGGGCGCCCTCCTGGGCTGTAGGGTGGGGCCCAGGACAGAGAGCCCTTACTGGTCTGGGGAGAGCAGGGTGAGCTGGAGCCCTGGGCCTGCAGGTGTGGCCGTGGGCCGGAGGGCCGGGGGCCAGGCGGGCGCTCAGCTGCTGTGGTAGATCCGGAGGCGCTGGGCGATCTCCTGGCGGCACAGCGGGCAGGTGCGCAGCGGCTGGCAGCACTGCAGGCAGCAGCAGACGTGGCCGCAGTTGAGGAAGATCATCTGGGCCTGAGGAGAGAGCGGGCGTCTGGGCTCTGCGGCTGGTGGTTCCGAACCCTCAACCATCCAGGAACACCAGCCACCCAGCAGGTGAACATCTAGACCTGCCTCTGCTGGCCGATCGCCCTCCTCCATGTTTTGTTAACAATCTATACGTGCCCGGGAGCCCTGCCCCCTCTTTCTAATATGAAACTGGATTACACGCTCCATGTTTTACTACTTGCCTGCCACCCTCCCTCGGGGTGGCGGCCGTGATGCCGTTCCCAATTTTTGTTTTGTGTACACTTGCCCAGCCCCCAGTCTAACAGCAATTCCAACATTACGGCCTAGAAGCCACGTCTACGCTTTGCGTGTTTCCTCCTTTCAGGAACTGACCAAGACAACAGTCAAGGTGTGCTCCCACCTCGTTCCAGGCTGCGCAGCTCAGCACTGTTTGTAAAATGAAATTGGAAGCCAACCTATGCGACCCCAAAGCAGGAATTTGGTTAAATTTATAACCAATGAATCCTTCTATATCACGCCTCCCCCGATGTGTGGTGAAGACAGAGGGAAATCAAATGCCCTAACATGGCCGCCTTTTCTAAGTAGGATCGCATGGTGGAGGGAGGGTGAGCTTTAATTTTATATGCTGTGTTGTGTATGGAACCATAAAAGACCCCAAACAGCTACAGCAATCTTGGGAAAGAAGAATGAAGTAGGAGGGATCATAATACCAGATATCAAACTATACTACAAAGCCATTATAAGCAAAACAGCCTGGTACTGGCACAAGAACAGTATAGACCAATGGATCAGAACAGAGACTCCAGAAATTGGCCCACACTGTTATGGCAAATTAATACCTGACAAAGGAGGCAAGAACATACAATGGAGTAAAGATAGTCTCTTCAACAAATGGTGCTGGGAAAACCGGACAGACACATGAAAAAAAGATGAAACTAAACCACCAACTTACACCATCCACAAGAATAAACTCAAAACGGATGAAACACTTAAATGTAAGCCATGAAACCATAAAAATCAAAGACCCCAAGGAGGGAGGCATGGGACAGACTGACATACCTCGATGTGGGGTTGGGGAGACGAGAAGAGATCAACCAAAGAACTTAGATACTTATATGCAGAGCCCATGGACATGGGCAATAGAGAGGTCAAAACCTGGGGGGGATGGGTAATGGCTGGGAGGAAGGGAAAGGGAGGAAAATGGGAGACAACCATAATACTGCCAGCAATAAAAAAAATATATTAAAAACCTTCTGGGGGAAAAAACCATAAAAATTTTTATATGTTGTGTTGTTTAATTTTTACAATAAGAGTGAATGTTGTAATGGGTTTTTTTTTTAGACGGTTTTAAAATAGCCTCTTCAGAGAAAATTGTATTGTTGATGTTTAAGGACTTGAGAAATTTTCCTTAATGTATTTGTTAAGTAGGGAAAACACCCTCTTTGAAAAAAAAAAAAAGTTCCAGAAAATGATGCTAGCATTGCTCATATTTGGGTCATGGGATCATGGGTCACTTTTATTTCCTGTGTTTTCCACAGTTTCTAATGAGCACCAGACACTTATGTGAGTAGAGAAAGTGTTTGGGAAGACTACCCCTGGGGAGGCCCGGATGGCCGCAGGCAGGGGGCCGGCTGGCGGGGGGCGGCCAGCTCCTGCTCCACACTCACCTCCCGCTCCAGGCACACCACACACTCCGAGGCCTGCACCTCCAGCTCCGCGGGCGGCGCCGAGGGCTTCGAGGACTCAGGAGGCTCCTCAGGGGCCGTGGGCTCCGGGGCCCCGAGGGCCTCCGCCGGGGGTGGTTTCAGCAGCTCTGTGGGGACCAGGGAAAGGGGTGAGCCAGGGCCTGTCCCAATGACCCCAACCCCAAGGGCTGCCCCTAGCCCTGCCTGCCCCACTGGACACTGAGCTGGAAGGTGAGGGTGCTCTGATCTCAGAATGGGGCGGGAGAGGGGAGAGCACCTTACCACACACCCTCTTATTTCTCTTCTGAGTCTCCCGCCCCATCTGTAAATAGGGAGTGCTGGGACACAGGTGGGGTGGGGTGGGGGGCACGCACTGGCTAATTGGGGTCTCTTACCCCTAAGGACCCCTGGACCTTTAAGGGCCATCCTGCAAGTAGGGCTGCCACTTTCAGAGATGAGACATGAGCTCAGAGAGGGGGAGCTACTTGCCCAAGGCCACAGCGCCACCTGGTGGTGGAGTCACAGCACAGGAGCCCCTGGTTAGGGGCTCTGGGGTGGAGGAGCCTCCCTCTCAGCTTCACCCAGAGGCCAGGTGATGGAGGAGCAGGGACAGGAGTGAGAAATCCCCACGGCTGCTCCCCGCAGCCCTGGCAGGGCCCCCAGCGGGCCCACTGCTCTCCCCTGCAGCCAGCCGCCAGCCTGAAGCCAGACATCAGAGTGGCCCTTCCACGGCGCTCTGATCATCACCCAGTGGCACCACCGCCACCCCTGAGTCTGTCTTCAGCCCTGAGCCCACCCTGATCTCAGTCCCCATGTTTCACTGATTCTGTGGTTTGACTTATAGTTTTTTTATAGTTGGGGGGAAAAGTGAAGAATTTTCAAAGGTTATTACAACCCTAGACACTGTAACGGTATCAGGGTGCCCCAAGTCATCATGTTAAGAGGCCCTTCTATACTTAACATAACACATAGGGAGTCCTGGGAGCAATAAGAGGATTTCCTGGCCCTTCTGGAGCTCAGAAGGAACCATCCCGCCACAGCCCCCTTCCTGTGGGCTGGGCACAGCCGGGGCATCACACACGGCGGCAGGGACATCCTGAGCTGGGGATTAGCTCCGGGCAGGGAGCAGCAGCTCCTGCTAGCTCTGGGTTGGAGGGAGATGGTGAGAGGTTTGGGATGCTGGAGGGACTCGGAGTGAAAGGTACCTGCAACTCCTGCTCCAGGGGTCTTCTGCTATGGTGTCACCTTTGTTGCAACCCCATCAGGTGGGCACTGTTGTCATCCTAACGTTTGCCAATGTTAGGGCAACCCCAAGTCCTGATGGCAAACTCTTCTGGACCTCCACTCCGAGTGGAGGCAGACATACATCTGGAGGGGGCTATTCTGCACAATACTTGATACTAACAGGCTGAAGTTTGTGACTTTTTCTACCCTGTTTCCTCGAAAATAAGACAGTGTCTTATATTAATTTTGGCTCCCAAAGATGCGCAAGGTCTTATTTTCAGGGGAAGTCTTATTTTTTCCATGCGCTAGGTTTTATTTTCGGAGGATGTCTTATTTTCGGGGAAACACGGTAGGTAGAGTAAGTCCCTGATGTAAAATTGGCTGGAAAACTGGCATCTGCAGATGGCATGGCCCTGCCATCAGCCCTCATATCTGGGGACCCAGCCAGGCAGCCCGAACTCCCGCCCCCTTCGGTCTGGTCTGGCACCTCCACTTCAGTCTGTCCCAACGAGATCCTGCCCAAGGCTGGCCCTCCGTGGGCTTGCCCAGCCTGGCAGCCCGCCCTCTCCTTCATTCTTGTCCTAGGCCCCAGGCCTCCTTTCCTGAGGGGCAGCAAAGCCCAGTGGTTCGGCTGTTTGCCGGCTGTGTGATGTGAGAGACGAGCTAACCTCTCTCCGCCTGTTTCCTCACCCCTCAACTGAGGATAACAATGCCCACCTGATGGGGTGGAAACGGGTGACACACATGGTACACGTGATATGGCTGGCAACCGCCTGGCACCTGGACCATGCTCGGCACACAGGAACCCAGTTTCCATGCCTGCCCTCCTCGGTACTGCTCTCTCCTGGCCTATATGACCTGCACTTACCCTCACACCCCGTCACAGACGCCCTCCCAGACACCCTGGATTCAGCTGGTTTCTCCTTGATTCCAAGGGTGTGTGGTTCTGTGTCTGCAGGGTGGGTTTAGGGAAGGTCACGGGACAGGGAGCCGAGGGCCCTGAAATGCTGCAAGGAAACTCCCGTTTTTGTGCCTGTTTTTCTCATGTGTGTGTCCTGTTCCTTTAAGGAAGGAACCTCAAGGACTACCAGGGGCTAGACCCAGCCTTTAGGGCCCCACCTGAAAAGTAACCACAGTCCACACGCCAGTTTGGCGTCGGTACCTGGCTGGATCCTGGCCGCATCCAGCAGCTCCCGGGCTTTCCGCAGGATCTCGTGCTGCAGGCCAGCTTCTGAGACTCCCACCTGCAGAGTCCGAGGAGAGCAGACTGTGGCCGGGCTGGGCCGGAGCCCCGGGGCCGCCTCACTCCCGCCTCACACCTTCAGCCAGGGCGCCCTGGGATGTTGGCTAAAGCAGACCTCACCAAGAACGGCAAGAAGAGCAAGCGACCGTGGCCAGATTGGGCCTGTGGCCCAGCGCTGCGCTAACCTCCCGCGAGAGGCTGCCCACCTTGGCCAGGTCCTCCAGGCTCATCCGGCTCAGCATGTCCAGCGAGATGCGGTGATGGGCAAAGATGGGCAGATAGTGCTCGGCGGACAGCTCCACCAGCAGGGCCGCCAGCGGGCGCTCCATGCCCTCCTCCTGCGCAGGCAGAGGCGCGGGCACCGAGAATGGGAAGAGAAGCAAGAAGCCATTATTTACATCAGCGAACAAAGGGTGTGAATATCTCTAACCCAAGTGTCAAAGGCATTCTTGGAACTTTTCCTACAAAAACGCATGTGTAAGCACAGAGATGGATGTGCAGGAAGTCACTGTCGCTCTCTTTGTGAACTTGAAGTGCCATGGGGAGGGGGCTGCTTCAATAAAGAGGGCCATCCATATGCAGCTGTCGGGAAACAATGTGGACTCTACATGTCCAGGCCTGGACAGCTGCCCATCACAGCCAAGAGGAAAAAGAAGCTGCCAAATAGTATGTTCTAGAAAGACTCCATTTTTACTTAACGTTAAAAAAAGTGTTGTGGCCAAAACCGGTTTGGCTCAGTGAATAGAGTGTCGGCCTGCGGACTGAAAGGTCCCAGGTTCGATTCCGGTCAAGGGCATGTACCTTGGTTGCGGGCACATCCCCAGTAGGAGGTGTGCAGGAGGCAGCTGATTGATGATTCTCTCTCATCGATGTTTCTAACTCTCTATCCCTCTCTCTTCCTCTCTGTAAAAAATCAATAAAATATATTAAAAAAAAAAAAAAAAAAAAGAAGTGTTGTGGGGGGAGAGGGAGGACATAGACAGGGAGACAGGACCACATCCGGCTTGTCCACACAGGTGCCCGGCGACAACACTGTCGCCCCCTTTGCTGGCAGCTGTCTGCCCCTCCCCGGAGCAGACCCTCCCTCTTGCCCCTGTGCCCCGGGGTCCCTCCTGTGCCCCGGGGTCCGGCCACCAGAAGCCCGAGTGGAATGCAGCCGGAAAGGTCAAGCGGCAGCGTGTCCCCGAGGCCCTGGTGCGGGCGGCGCCACCGGGCCGTACCTGCAGCTTCAGGGACAAGGGCTTCTGGTTCAACAGCCGTTGGTACTGAATCAGCCAGTAATTCTCCTGCTTGGTTTCACTTTTGGCTTCTAACTCCGTCTGCCAGAACGAAGGTGATGCTGTTAGTTAGAAAGCGGTAAGTAAAAACGATGACGATGATGATAACTGAACGGTGCTCCTCTGAGCGTGTGGACAGAGGAACAGGGTTGGAACACAGGCACCTCCTCAGTCCCCCTTTGGGCCTGAGTGCCCTTTGGTGGTCACTCCCGGGCCTAGCTGGCTCCCAGCTCCTGGCCTGGGCGGTGGACACACCTCTCTCCTGGAACCTATGGCCCTGAACCTCATGTTCTGCTGAGGTGCTGCTCCCTCCCCTAGTGAGTCCTGAGATGCCCCTCGAGGGCAGGAACCCAGGGCCAAGTATATGGCTGCTTCTGCACCATCCACATCGCTACAATCTGCACACAGTGCAGCTGGGGTTCTGGAGGAAGGCACCTTCTGACTGGCACAAGCATGGCACTGGGGCTTGCGCCGGGCTCGGAAACCTTGGAGCTGGTCTCAGACTCCTCTGAACCCTGCACAGGGCCTGCTCCTGGAGCTGAGAGGGGCCTGGAGCTCAGAGGCGCCTGGAGCAGTCCTGACACCAACCCCAGCCCCAGCCGGTGGGCTGGCCTCCGTCCTCACCGCTCACGTGCACTTGGGATGTGGAGGACACGACCTGGCTGCTACCTAAATGCAGCTCTGCCACCCTAACGATGTGCCAGCGCGAAACCCGTGTGGGAACAGGGGGCAACTGGGTAATTCCTGTCAAAGGCTTATTCAAGTCCTCTCCTGGGCTCAGCTGTTCTCAAATACTGAGCTGCAAAGACGGACAGAGAGAACTGCCTATGAAAGTCAAGAACGAGAAGCAATCTATAATACATGCTCAACAGGCCGAATGATGGCCTAGCCCAACGCAGCCGCGAACAGAATGCAGAGATGTTTCGGTGACACGGGAAGAACGGCTGGAAGCGAGCGGCCGCCGGGGTTCTGCGCTGTGTGACGTGTAAGCACGTGCACACGCAGCCACAAAGGGGCGCCACAGCGTTTGAGAAATGAACGTCAGACTGTCAGCAACAGAGAGCTCTCCGAAGGGAGACTCTTTTCCTTTGCTCTTCCATTTCCCTACGATGACCAAGACTTGAGTGACAGAAATGCTCCTAAGAATGACAAGCGTGCGGAGGGCAATCAAACCCGTGTTCGGTGCCGACGCTGAAGCCCAACACACCAGGATCGCCCGGAGCTCCTCCTCGCGCTGCGTCTTCTCTTTGAGCAGCTGCTGGAGCAGGGAGCTGAGGGCCCAGCGCTGCTCTGCGACCATCTCCTGCAACACAAGAGCGCACCCAGTGCCGCCGGAAGCTCCAGCAGCCCTGGCGCCACAAGTCCCGGGGCACCGCGGAGGGATCCCCCTCACTGCGTCCTCCACAGCCGGGGCTCACGGAGGGCGGCCTCAGCTCACGTCTCTGCCCACGACCTCAGGCCTCCCCTCCCCACCTGCTCCTAAGCCGGCCCCTCCCTCCCCTGTGGGGCTAAGGCCAGGCATGGAATCTCATGACTGATGTGGGTGGAGTGGTAAGAAACAGCAAACAAAGGAGATGACAAGCCATGGGTACCTGACCTCCTCTCACTGACCCCACAGCATGTGGGGGAGGTGCATGGCGGGAGGGCTGTCAGCCCGTCACCCCAAGTCTGGAAGGCCCTACGGGGATGGGTGTGCATGCAAACTGGAGCAGAGCCCTTGCGTGTGTCCGTGTTCCACTCATCTCTTTCCTTGGATATCCCCCTGGGGTCCCCAAAATGGGAGCCCACAAGCTCGAACGGGCGTGAGACAAGGGCACCTGCGCTGAGAGCTCAGCTCCTTCTCTCTGACACCCTTTCCAGCTCACACTGCACTCTCCCTCTGCAGCTCACCCTCTCCCGTGGCCCCGACACAGGCTGGGCCACAAGATTACTTTCCTTGTATGGAGGGGAGAGCCGGAGGCCCAGGGAGGGGAAGTGACCCGCCCCAGGTCACACAGCACATCCGTGGCGGACCTCAGACCAGGACTCCCGACCCTGGTGTTCTTTCCCTGCACGGAGAAGCCATGAGACAACCTCAGACGGCCCCCGAAAGCAGACGGCTCTGCTCAAGGCCCGGGATGGGGCACACGTCCTCACCACCACTGTCACGCCCTTCCGTGGACCACCAGACTGAGGTGCGGGGAAGGGAAAGGGCCGCCCCTCTCCCTCCGGCCCAGGTCACACAGCGGGACTGCGCTGCACAGAACCCAGGCCCCAGCCTTCCAGGCCAGACGCCGCCGGCCAGTCCCTGCGGCCCCTTCTCTGTGAGCAGGACAGCAGGCCGAGGTCGCAGAGAAGCTGCCTGCAGGGAGCGACGCAGCCACGGCTGGGCCCTCTCGTCCGGACATCCCTGCGACACCAAGAAAGCTCCTTCCCCAGAGGATGTCAGCCCGTGAGTGGAACCAGCGCCCCAGAAGCATGGCTTAAAGAGACAGGGAGCTCAGCAGCAGCCCCGCTCCAAAACAAAGAAAAACGGAGATGGAGATGGCACCTGGTGAGCCTTGGCAATGAAGCCCTCCTTCCTCTGACCCGCCTGCCCTAAGCTTGCCTGTGCTCCCATCAGCCTCTGGGCTTGGGGCGCCCTCCAAGGTCACAGCCACGGAGGAGACCTGTCCGGCTTCCTGGAGAGGTGATGGGGCACCAGGTGGGAATTCATGGGGTACAGGGGGGGGGACCGGGCAGGCCAGGGAGCCCTACATACCTGTAGTGCCTCTGTGTCCAGGGATTTCCTCTTTAACTCCAGCTGTGTCAGCTGCAATAACTCAGTTTCTATTAACTTAATCTAAACAGAAGATGAGACAGGGTTTTTTTTTATGTACATTAACCATAGTTCAGTTCTGTGCCGCTGCTCTCTGACGGCCAAGGGGGGTGGGGGGTCCTGAGCATCTTTTCTGGGCATCTCTAGAATGAGGGGCCCTGCATGCTTTGGGCAGGGGAGTGGACACGCCTGCCTGGTCAATACTGCTGACCAATTCTCTTGCTTCCTCTGCAGAGCTGTCCCGGACAGGAGCAGAGGGTCATGGCAGTGACTGAATAATAATAATAATAATAATAATAATAATAGGAGTATTAGATGATATTTATTGAGGATTCTGCATGGTAGGCCTGTGCTGGGCACTTTATATATATCCGTTTGTCAATTCTCCTCTGGCTATTAGGAAGTTTTAATGCCTCCATTTTACAGACAAGGAAACTGAGGCTCAGAGAGGGTAAGTAACTTGCCTAACGACACAGAGCAGATACGTGAGTGAGCCTTTTCCCTGGATGTGCCTTCTCAGGGTCTAAAGGGAAACAGCTGGCCTGGCGGGTCAAAACCACTCCCAGTGAGAATATCTAAGGGTCACTGCGCACCCCAGGGTGTGACTGGGGACTTTTAACCCTGCGGGTCTGACCCACAGCCTGTGCCTCTGACCCTAAGTTGCTAGGTCCCCACCAACCCCTGGTCAGAGGAATGAGCTTCATGTCCGGCTATGTGGGATTGAAATTAAAGAGGGAAATAAAAAGGTAAGCTGGTATTGGCCAAAAAGGAAAAGAATAAAAAGGAAAAAACAAAAACATGCAGAATGTGGAATTCAGAGTGTTGAGGACGATGGATGAGCATTCCCACAGCCTGAAAGCTCACTTTACCTCCAGCCCAGAGCCAGTGGGCCCAGAGGCCACAGCGGGGGCTGCCCAAAGCCAGCCCAGGCCAGCTGACGCCAGGCCCTCGCTGCCCCCTCAGGTGGGAAATCCAATCTGTCCCAGTTCAGAGCCGATGGGGACACTGGGGCTTGAGCCGGCTGCCTGCAGAGTGCTCAGCACAGAGGCTGCCCTTCCCCTCAGCCCTGGGCACCCACAGTGCTGCCTCGGGCACCTCCGAACAGCCAGCCCCTGACTGAGGTTCTGGGAGGAAAGGGAGCTTCTGCGGAAGGCCTCCTGCTGAGCTGTGGAGGAGCCAGGATTCCACCGTAACCAGCTGCCTCGGTGTCTCTGAAGGCTGACAAGGCAGGTCTAGAAGGGGGTCCACGACCCCCACTCACCTGGTTCCTGATCTGCCGGTGCATCAGGTCCTTCTTCACCTGGAGAGCCTCAAACGCAGCCTTCTGCATGGCGCTCTGCAACGAGACAGCTGTGAGCGGGGCCGACGGGGGTGGGGGGGGGGGCAGGCTTGCAGTGCTCTGCGGGCTTCTCTGTGGTGTGATTACAGGACGGCTGTCACCCCCACTCCCTGCCCTTTCAGTCCTCGTGGTGGAGCCCCATGGAGTGGGTGCCAAAGGGAAAGGGGATGCTTCTCTGGATTTCAGCAACCAGATCCCCACCCAGAGGCCTCTCCCTGCCCCTATTCCTGGTGGTTTGTACTAAACGCACTAAGCATGTGGGGTCTCGCACGGTATCTGGGACAGGGCTCCATGCAGAGTCTGCCCCAGCATGCCCTTCCTGTGCCCCTGCCCTCATGCCCTGGGCAAGGGCTCACCTCCTGCAGGATCTGGCTGATGGCTTTGTTCTGATCCATCTGCTGCCATGACAGAATCTGCTGGAACCGCTCATCCATTGCAGCCATGCTGCCACAAAGACAGCACATTCATTTACTCTCTCAACATTTTCTGAGCACCTACTATGTGCCAGGCACCTTGGAGGAGATCAAGATAAACCATTTATTCATTCAACAGTACTTATGGAGCGCCTGCTGGGGTCATGCTCCAGGCTGGGCAGACACAGTCTGTCTGAATCCCAGGGCCCGGAAGGAGGTGTCAGAGTCTGTGTCTGGGGGCGGGGAGTCTGTGTCTATGGAATACCGCCTCCCAGCGAGCTGCTCGGACCTAAGGAAGCTGTCCTTCCTCCGCACTCGCATCTGCACTCCCCACCCCGGCGTTTCTCGCCCTGGCAGTGGGTCTGCTCTCAGCCCCCAGAACAAGTCTAGTGATTTTGGCACAAAAATCCAAACTTGCAACCTCATGAATGTCCATGTTCGGGTACGTCCTGGCTTTGAGTTTGTTCAGAACAATCGCTGCTATTTATTGAGCCCCATGCGGCATACATTATGCTCGTTAGAGGCTCCAGCCATGTAGGGGAGGGTACTGCTTTATCTCCATTTTTCTGATAAGAAAATTGGGACTCAGAAAGGAAAAGCAACGTGCCCAAGACATCACAGTTACCAAGAGAAGTGCGTGCTCCTAAGCACGACGTCATACACCAGGAAAGAGGGCGAGAGTCGCACCTGAGGACGCAGGGGAGGCTGGCAGCTGCGCCCCCTGGAGGGGTGGAGACGCACAGGACTACTGCCTGTCCCCGTCTGGGGCTGAGGCTCCTGAGCTTTTCTCACCTGGCTCTGCCGGACGCCTGTGGCTCCCCCAACAGACACACCCACAGGGCCACGGGGGACTCGGAGAGCCACACCCAGAGTGGCTATCAGCATCGAAGGCACCCCATCACCGTCCCCCAGGGCACCCGCCCCCGACCTCAGCGGATCCTTGGCGAGGATGAGTGCACCCCCGCCAGGAGCACCCCCCCCCCAACCCCCCCCCTGCTCTGCCTGGGTTGGAATCCTGGCTCTGCCTGCTGCTGGTTGTGTTTCTTTGGGTGTGTCACATGGCATCCGAGCCCGAGGTCAGACTGTAAAATGGAGTAGTCCCTTGGACATCCCATAAGCTACTGCATGTCACATGGCCGAGAGCCCGGCACACAGGAGGGCATGAGACGTGCTGGTGATTACAGACACCTCAGTGACGGTGGAGGTTTGGCTGCAGACCACCACAATCAAGGAAATGCTGCAATGAAATGATTCACAAGAGCCCCTGGCTGGTTTGGCTCAGTGGATAGAGCGTCGGACTGTGGACTGAAGGGTCCCGGATTCGATTCTGGTCAAGGGAACATGCTCAGGTTGCGGGCTCAGTCCCCAGTTGGGGGCAGACAGAAGGCAGCTGGTCAATGATTCTCTCTTATCATTGATGTTTCTCTCTCCCTTCCTCTCTGAAATTAAAAAAAAAAAAAAAAGATATATTAAAAAAAAATTAGCCACAAGAACCTTGGGTTTCTCAGTGCATATATATGAGTTATGTTGGCATAACTGTAATCTATCAAGTGTACAATAGCATTATGTCTCAAAACGCAATGTACATTTTTGAATTAAAAAATTCTTTCTTGCTAAAACATGCTAACCATCTGAGCCTTTAGGAAAAATGGTGCCAACAGACTTGCTGGAGGATGGTTGCCACAAACCTTTAACTTGTAAAAAACGCAGTATCTGTGAAGCACAATGAAACGAGGTGTTGTCACTTTGTCACATGGCATGAGGCCCAGCTAGAAAAGTCATGGAGACCAGCCACCACCTGCCTCTATAGCATGGCTGAGGTTGGGGGGGGCGGACGGGGACTCCCTGGGCCCAGAGCCCACTCCCCCAAATCCCTTCCTCTGGACGCCTCTCCTTACCTTACCTGGAACAGGCCTGCTGGACCAAGTTCTGCCTCTGAGTCTCGTAGGTCATCTGCAGGAAGCGGTTCTTACAGCTCTCGGTCAGCATCTGCTGCATGGCGGCTGAGAGACAGGGGACGGGCTGAGGAAGGGGCACCGCCTGGGGCGGCCTCGGAGGGTTCGCCTAGTCACCCACCGGATGGTCACCCTTCAAAGAAATCTTATTTTTAAACCATAAAAGTAACAAGTTTGAAAGATTATCTGTAAAACACTGAACAACACACACAGAATCTCCTATCCTCTGTCACCCAGAGATATTACCACTTTTGATACGTATTCTTCCAGTGAAATGTAAATGCATATTTGTAGATTTTTGAAAACGAAAATGAAAACACTGAAAGCAGAGACTGGAATAGATATGTGTGCAGCCACATTCACAGCAGCATTATTCACAATAGCCAACAGGTGGAAACACCCCGATGCCCACTGGCAGATGAACAGATTAACAAAATGTGATAGATCCACACAACATTATTCAGCCTTAAAGAGGAAGGAAATCCAGAGGGAAGACATGAATGAACCTTGCGGACATGCTAAGTGAAAGAAGCCAGTCAACAAAAAGACAATGCTATGATCCCACTTACATGAAGCACCTAGAGCAGTGATCGGCAAACTCATTAGTCAACAGAGCCAAATATCAACAGTACAATCACTGAAATTTCTTTTGAGAGCCAAATATTTAAAACTTAAACTTCTTCTAATGTCACTTCTTCAAAATAGACTTGCCCAGGCCGTGGTATTTTGTGGAAGAGCCACACTCAAGGGGCCAAAGAGCTGCATGTGGCTTGTGAGCCGCAGTTTGTCGACCAGGGACCTAGAGTAACCAGACTCAGAGAAGAGAGCAGGACGGTGGGTGCCGGAGACTAGGGGAGGGGCAATGATGAGTTACTGAGTGGGTACAGAGTTTCAGTTTTGCAAGATGAAAAGTCCTGGAGATGGGGATGATAATGGCAGTACTCTAATGTGCTTAATACTACAGAACTATACAATTAAAAGTGGTTAAAATGGTAACTTTTACGTTGTATATATTTTACCACAATTAAAAAAAATTAAAATGTTATCACACTAAATATACCACTTATTTCTCATGAATACTTCCCTTTTCAAGGGGTCAACACTCAGCACCCTGTCTAGGTGACCAATAGAGCTATCTACCCCTGTCCCCCCAAACAGCCAGGCTCCATGCCCAGGACCCCTCCCACTCCCCACCCTGAGACTCACAGGCAATCTCACGTCTTCGCAGGTTCTCTGTCTCCTCCTGGGTTATGGTCATCAACTGTTCCATTCTTATTCTAGAAAACAATCCACCCGTTTATTCAGCAAACATCACATTTCCAAGAGGACATCCCATCAGAAGAACAGCACCTCCTTCAGGAAGTCCTCCTTGATGTGCCAACGTAGGTGTGCTCTGCTGCGTCACACCCTTCTCCCCTGGGGCCCTGTTCATAGAGCTTCTTGTATAAAAAGGTGGACACTCCCTTAGAAAAACAGGCAAAGGACGCAAACAGCCATTTCACTGATGCTTGAATACAAGTGACCAATAAGCATATGGGAAGACGCTTAGCATCACTGTTAACTAAAGAAGTAAAATCTTTTCAACTAGAGGACCGGCTGGGATTAGGGAAACTGACAACCATAGGTGATGGCAATGAAGGTGGCGAAACGGGCACTTTCACAGACGGGTGAGAAGAGTATACACTGGCAAAATGTTTCTGGAAGGCAATTTGGCAATACCTATCCAATGTCCTTCAAAAATATTCACATAAATGCAGATAGAGGTACTGAGGAGATATTCACCGTAACAGTATTTGTAATTATGAAAAACCGGAAACAAATTCCCATGAACAGAGGGCTAATTAAATGAATTACATTATAACCATTTAGAGGACTACCCTATAGTTATTACAATATGGCTGTTGGCATAGAAATACATCCATGAGACAATAAATGAAAATTAAAGTGTCGAACGCAAACTGTAATAAAAAAATAAAATAAAAAATAAATGAAAACATAAGAGGTAATTACATGCATGTATGTGCATGCTGAAGTGTGTGCATCCCCCCCACACACACACACGCTAAACAGGTTAGAGTGGTTTGCAGGATAATCCATCATGTTTCTGCAAGTCCTGCTTCCCTGAAGAAGCGTGTGTCCTCTGAGCCCCCTGCCCTGCCCAGGACTGCAGGCTGCTCAGGGAAGCTGCCCCGTGCACCGTGGAGCCCAGCCCCTGCAGTAAGAGTGTGCGCCAAGTAAACGATGCCACCCCCACAGCTCAGCTTGGCCCTGACCTCTCCTGGCTCCCGCAAGTACCATAGCTTCAATGGGCGGGGTGATGGGGCTGCCGTGCCACCTGGAGGGAACTCCCTATGGGAAATCTTCCCTAAGGTGTTTTAATGGCAAAATATTATACCTGCTGCTGCCACCGGTTAGTCGTCTCCTTCTGTGGGGCGACCGGCAGGGCAATTGGGGGGGGGCAGGGTGCGGCTTGCTGGCACCTGTCTTGGTTGGCCTAGGGCCTGGAGGCAGCTCCTACATTGAGCATCTGCCCCTGGTGGTCTGTGCACATCATAGCAACCGGTTGTTCCACCTGTCATTCCACTGTTCAGTTGATTTGCATATTAGGCTTTTATTATATAGGATATATTCTTATTCACATTTAAATTTTTGTCAGGAATGTGTTACAACAAACTTGCAGATAGTGATTCTTTTTCATAATGTTTCCTAATGAGCTGAATCTCCTTATAGCTTTGGGAAAACTTTCTGGCATAATCTTTGAGAATCATAAGACATTCTAACTCCAAGGCCAAAGCCGCCTCCCCTTCCCCTTTCCCGCCCCAGAAGGAAGGCCCTGCTGAGAGAGCGCCAGAACAGAAACTTACCTGTCATTTTCCAGTGACTTCAAAAGCTCTGAATTTTTCCTTTGTCTGTAGAGAAACCCACAAAAGGTCCCTGAAGCCGTCACCAGCAGGGCTGATTCCCACATAACCACCCCTCACCTCACCGGGGGTGCAGAGGGGGCTTAGTGACGGGGGCAGGGGGGTAAGGGGGGGTCTTAGCCCCACCCCTGAGGGAGGGCTGAGGTCTCGGGACAGTTAAGCACTGCAAGCCCCAGTTCCCCATCTGTGCCTTGAAACAATATTAAAAAACAAAACAAAACACTTCATGGAGTATTTGTAAAGAGTGAGTGAGGACATGGACATGTGTGTGGCCTGTAAGAAGCCCCGGGCGGAGGGCAGCTTTCCCGTGGAGCGGCCGACCCAGGAGGGCAGAGGAGCCCGTGAGGAGCAAAAGGAAGCCTGGGAGCGACAGCAGGTGTGGCGGAACCTGTTTCTGGACTCTTCTCACAGGGTTCCTAACAGATTGCTCAGGCTTCCCGAGGTCTCTGTCTGCCCCCCTTTCTCCCAAGTCCGGTCAAGGCCTGCGCTCAGCAGCTCCTACTTGGGCAGGATGGGTTAAAGCAGAGCGCCCAATGGGGTGAATGTTGACCTCAGCACTAGAGGTTACTTGAACCCTAAAATATCTTGTTAAAGCCTCCTTTACGATGGGCAACTGGGAGATGCGGGTCAGATCAGCCTTTTTAAGTTGGTGCAGAATGCGGCACCAAGACTGGATGCCAATGATGGGGACCTGGGGAGGGGGAGAGCCTGGGAGGAAGAATGACCCTTCTTTGTCTCCTCCCAGGGTTTCATGTGAGGATGGGAGCCCGACCTCTGATTGTCCTCCAGAAGCTTCTGGATCCGTTTGGAGATGTTCTGCTCCGTCTGCTTCAGCTGCTCCTGCAGCCGCTGACGCTCTGCATCGAGGTAGCGCTGGTGCTCACTGAGGCCGTGGTCCAGCCGGGACTGCTCCTGCGGCAGGCGGGCAGCTGTCCTGAGCAGCTGGGCCCCCTTCAGATGCCTTAATGCAGTGAGGGGCCCCATAGCGGGGTCAGGGGAATGTCCCCATCCTGCCAGCCCTTTCCGTGCGACCTTGGACCAGGGTCCTCCCCTTGCTAGGCTTTGCATACAAGGAGGCTGGACCAGGTGCCGTCAAGGCCCCCCAGACCCTGGAGTATGGAGTGGGCAGCCAGAACCCATCCCACGGGGCCACTCACGGACCTTCCTGACGGACTGGAGGATCTCGTCCTTCTGACTGTGGCTCTGCTGGAGGAGCTGGGCGTGCTCCCGCTGCCCCAGCTCCAGGCGCCGCTCAAACTCCAGTTTCTCCAGCATCTTCTGTTCCTGCAGGAATGGAGATGCTGGTGACTGCTGGCCCAGGCCCTGCAGGCATCAGGACACGGGACCCCACCCCGAAACTCCGAATAGTTTAGGCCAGTCATCGGCAAACTCATTAGTCAACAGAGCCAAATATCAATAATACACCAATTGAAATTTGAGAGCTGAAAACAGACTTCTGCGCATGGGCCACGAAGTTTCAATCGCACTGTACATGCGTGCCCGCACATGGTATTCTGTGGAAGAGCCACAATCAAGGGGCCAAAGAGCCGCATGTGGCTCACGAGCTGCGGTTTGCCGACCACTGGTTTAGGCTGTAGATAGTAATGCTGAGTAACCCCTCAGGGGCCCCCTTGACTAGAACAGGCTGTTTGCTGGCAGGGGCCGGTGGTTTGGAGCTTGAGCTCCAACTCACTGAGCCTCAGTCTTCTCATCTGTCAAGTGGGGACACTCTACCACCTACCAACGCTGTGAGGAAAGCACTGCTTTACCCTCTCATTTAGAGGCAGGAAGGACTTGTTTCCTCAAGTCTTTTATAATGATTGAGGTCTTTAATGTGAAGAAAGGTGACAGAGGGCAAAAGGCACTTCTTACCTTCCTCTTCTCATAGTCCGAGAACCTATTCTGGAGGGGGAAATACAGTGGTCAGAGCAGGTGGGCAGCCCGGCACCATTCAGATTCCCTGGCCCACCCCGGAGTACGCATCAGAAGGGGGGGGGGTGAGGACGAGGGGTGGGTGGTTCAGGGGACACCGAGGTTGAGAACCAGGGGCAGAGTACCCCACAGAAAGGTCTTCAGGACAGCGGTAGGTGCAGCTCTGAGAAGGTGCTCAGAAAGGAAGACCCAGACCGAACTAGCTGAGCCCTTGGGGTGTCTGCACACAGGGGCAGCACGGCTCTCGCCCCCCCCTCCCGGCTCCCAGACACACAGGCGCTGCGTACACTCCTGCCGGGAGGCTCAAAGGGTGACCGCCCTGGGAACAACTCAGATTCCGTGAACAGGTGACTTGTTCAGTGAACTGCAGCAATGTCTCGGCTGCGATCTTCGTTTTATTTCGGTTTCTGGAACTGAACCCACAGGCTCTCCGACGGGCGTCTGTATTCGTATGTGGGCCTGTGACAGGGACCTGGGAGAGCCCCCTGCTGCTGGTGCTGACTCCCCCAAACTGAGAGTGTGAAGGTGCCCTGCACGGTGAGTGGCACTGAGGCAAGGATTGGCTGAGAGAGACATAAACACTACAGACTCGGTCGCCACTCACGAAGCTCCATCAGCAGGGCAGACAGACATGAAACAAACTCTCCCAGGCAGTTCTTCCTTTAACTCAGAGCTGTGGTGAGTGCTCCCAAGGAGACAGATGGACGGGCCCTCTGCGGACACGGACGGGGGCTGGCCTGCCTGTGGGGAGGGCTTCTCAGAGGCTGTGATGTTAAACAGAGAGCTGAAGGGACAGGCTGAGTGAGCAGGGGAGGGCGAGTGGGGAGAGTCCCAGACAGAGGGACCGGCAGAGAGGGCGCCATGCGGCTGACGAGTGGTGAGCTGGTGCAGGCAGGGGCTGTGGTTGGCCTCGTGAAAGCAATCTAACCAAGCACGTCGGTCTGACGGAGGCAGATTTTAGTTTGATGGAGGAGTCTATGGCCGTAGTTCTGAGCATCCTCCCAATAGCCAGGGCCCTCTCTCCAGATGCCAGCGGGCAGGCTCATCTTACCTGCCACTCTGCCTCCTCCCTGGAGAGCCTGTCCGAGGGCCCGTCAGGGCTGTCCTGGCAGCTCTGGGCTCCTTCTTGCTCCAGGACCGGCAGCAGGTACTGAGAAGGGGGGTAGTATTCCAGCCCCGACTCTGCAAGAGATGACACAGCTGACCAGGAGGGAGGAGGCAGCCCAGCTACCTGGAGTGGCCAGTGCCTGCTGTCCTTGCCTTCCTCCCTCCTCCTCGGCATCCTGTCACATCCCCACGCCAGGCCACTGCTCCTCTGCCCTTGACTGGGCCCTCATGTCCTCGCCAGTCCTAACGCCTGGCCCAGAATGTGGCCAGTGCTCAGTAACCTGCAGCTGGTACACACACAGGACCCCCACCTGCCTCTTTACATCCGAGGAGAAATAAGATGAAAAGGAAGCCCGAGATTAGGAGTTGAAGGCTGAGTTCAAAACCCAGCTGCACCCATGATTTCCTGTGTATGAGACCTTGGGCGAGACGCCTGCCTTCTCTGGCCCTGCAGTTTTCTACTGCATAATTTGTCCGTTTTTATTTGGTTGTTTATTTTTGCTGATTTGTAGGTGCTCTTTATATATTATAGCTAATAACCTTGGGCCTATATGCTGCCACTATTTCCTTCCAGGTGGCAACTTTTCTTTTTAGCTTTGATGATGGTACCCTATCCTTTTGAGATAAAGTAGCGTTAGATTTCAATGTAGTCAGCTACCCTCCCCCCAAGGATATAAATAGGCAGTTCACAAGAAATACTAAAACTGGGTGGTGCATACTTCTCACAGGAACGTAACCTCGGGTAACCTGTTCAGAGGGCAATGTGGAGTTACTGTCCACACCCTGTGCCAACCTCACTGATGCCTGAACCTAGAGGAACCTCATGCAGTGCCAGGCCAGGGGGTGTGGGTTAGTGTTCTGGGAGCAGAACACTGGAGATAACTTGCAAGTTCACAACAAGGGTTCTACCATGTGAAATGCTCTACAGCAATTAAAAATGAGGCAGAGCCTGGCCGGAGTGGCTAAGTGATTGAGTATCAACCTATGAACCATGAGGTCATGGTTCCATTTCCGATCAGGGAGTATGCCTGGTGGGTGGGCTCAATCCCAGCCTTCCCTCCAGGCCTCAACATGCGCCTCTATCTGCAAGGAACACCCTTCACTCTGGTCTAAGTTTTAATCATCTCTCAGGTTTCACTAAGGCCCTTAAACCAGACCTGTCCATTGTACTCTCATAACCTCAATATGTAATTACTAGAGGCCCAGTGCACAGATTCATGCATCCGTGGGGTCCCTTGACCTGGCCTGCGGGGTTCAGGTTGAAACTGGCTCTCTGGCTTCCCCTGAGGGGTCCCGGATTGTGAGAGGGAATAGGCCAGGCCGAGAGACCCCACTGGTGCACAAATCCGTGCACCGGGCCTCTAGTACACATGTAAGATCTTTGGTTAATCTCTTCTCGCCCTCTCCCCTCCCCTCCTCTCTCTGAGATTTATCAGTCTGTTCCATGCCTGTGGTTTCTGCTCCTGCATTGAGTGTCTGCCCCCTGGTGGTGAATGCATGTCACAGCTACCAATCACTAGTTGGCTAGTTGCTTAGTAGGCTTTTAAAAATATAGACACTTCCCTGTGTGATGCTTGGCCCCTCTCTCCAGCCAGACTGTGGCCTCCTTGGTTTCTGCCGCCTCCCCAACCTGGGCTGGCACAGGGCAGCTGCCAGGGCCACGGGTGCTCACTGAGTGGAGGAGGAGGCTGCCTGGCCTTACCTTTGCAGAGGAACTGCTGGATGGCCTCCGTGCCTGCGCCACACACCTCCAGCGGCGGGAAGACCATAGACGAGGCATCCAGGCTTAGGGTCTGTAGACACAAGGGAACCCTTTATATGTCGTTCATGTCACTGCTCAACACAATGAAATCCCACTGGGTGCAGTTATGAACACGTGCTCACTATCTCCTCTGCCTCGCAGGGAGAGCTCACCTGCCTCGTTCCAGCTGCAGTCCCAGCTCCTAGAACAGTGACTAGCATGCAGCACGCACTCAATTCATGTTTTTGGATAAATACACGAATGAACAAAACAAAGGAAGTTATAGGACAGCATAGAGAATAAGATTCCATTTTTGTAAAAATATATATACATATATTCCTATAGTCTTAGATTAGTATATTTATAGAAAAAAATTTGGAGCAGTATATATCAGCCTCCAAGTGGCCATGGGCCATGCGTGGCCACAAGCCATGTATGGCCATTTATGTTTAAATTTTAATAGGTAAAATTTTTTTAGCTGGCCGGTGTGACTCTGTGAAGGTCATGGTTCAATTCCTGGTCAGGGCACATGCTCAGGTTGCAGGCTTGATCCCCACTAGGGGGCGTGCAGGAGGCATCTGATCAATGATTCTCATCATGGATGTTTCTATCTCTCTCTCCCTCTCCCTTCCTCTCTGAAATCAACTAAAAATATATATTTTGGGGGGAAATTTTTTTTAAAAAATATATTTTATTGATTTTGTACAGAGAGGAAGGGAGAGAGATAGAGAGTTAGAAACATAGATGAGAGAGTCATCAATCAGCTGCCTCTTGCACACCCCCTACTGGGGATATGCCCGCAACCAAGGTACATGCCCTTGACTGGAATCGAACCCGGGACCTTTCAGCACCCAAGCTGACGCTCTATCCATTGAGCCAAACCAGTTTCGGCGGGAGGAAAATTTTTTAAATTGTGCCCTGATTGGGAATCAAACCCACAACCTTGGTGTATTGGGACAATGCTCTAACCAACTGAACTACTTGGTCAGGGCCAACTGATTAAAATGAAAGAGAATTTCAAGCTCAGTTCCTCAGTTGCACCAGCCACATGCTCAGTGCTCGATAGCCACAGGTGGCCAGCAGCTACTGTACTGGACAGCACAGCCTATGGGACACTTCCGTCATCGGCAGGAGGAGCAGCGACTGGACAGCACTGAGTCACACAGCCCTGGTTTTAGACCCCAGCTCGCCAGGGGCCAGCTGTGTGACCTGGAACGGGCCACATGACCTCCCTGGAGCCGAAGGTCCCTCAGAGTTAACAGGCACAATATCACCCCCTGGCAGGCTGTTAGATGGGTAACCGGAGATAAGACGTGAGGAAGACTTTGACCTCAACTAAGAATGGTTGCTGTTGTTTCATTCTGAGAACACGTTTGTCCAAGGTGACACCAAGAAGCCCAAAAGATTTTTGTTGGAAGAATCGCTATAAATCAAACCACAACCAAAACCGGTTTGACTCAGTGGTAGAGCGTCGGTCTGCGGACTGAAAGGTCCCAGGTTCGATTCCGTTCAAGGGCATATACCTTGGTTGCAGGCACATCCCCAGTAGGGGGTGTGCAAGAGGCAGCTGGTTGATGTTTCTCTCTCATCGACGTTACTAGCTCTCTATCTCTCTCCCTTCCTCTCTGTAAAAAATCAATAAAATATATTTAGCCGAAACCTGTTTGGCTCAGTGGATAGAGCATCTGCCTGAGGACTGAAAGGTCCCAGGTTCGATTCCAGTCAAGGGCACGTACTTTGGTTGCAGGTACATCCCCGGTAGGGCGTGTGCAGGAGGCAGCTGATCGATGTCTCTCTCTCATCGACGTTTCTAACACTCTATCCCTCTCTCGCTTCCTCTCTGTGAAAAATCAATAAAATATATTTTAAAAAAACACTTAAAAATATATATATATTTAAAAAAAATAAATAAAAATAAATCAAACCTCAGAGCTCTTACTGTTAGAATGGCTTTAGAATCAGGAACACTGCTCTGAGCTGTGCTGTCCAATAAGGTAGCAACTAAGCAACTGAGCACAGGTAGCCATTTAAATATAGATGAGTAAAATTCAATAAAATGAAACACGTAGTTCCTTGGTCATACTAGCCACAGGTCAGTGAACATTTCCATCATCGCTGGAAGCACAGAGAATAAATGCCTGCAAGCTGGCCATTTCTCCAGCCTGCGCAGGGCGAGCAGCCTGCCATCCTGCCCTTCCTTAGGCTGCCCACCAGGGCAGCGGGGACCAGCCTGGGGTCAGGCACCTCCCTTTGCTGTCTCCGTGCTCCTCCCCCAGATGCCACCCAGACAGCCATGTGGCTTGCGAGCCAGTTCACTGAGACGATCAGAGGAGTCTGGGCGCCTGTCAGGGGAGTGTCATTGTGAATGGAGAAGTGCCTGCACAGGGGTGGAGCCAGGCCCTGGATTCAGACTGCCTGGGTTTGATACCATCCTTGCTATTTATTCCTAGTTGTGTGGCCCTGGGGCAAGCTCCTTAGATGGTCCAGGCCGCAGTCTCTTCCTCTGCAAAGGGACACAACAGGGTTTCTCTGAGGATTCAGAGAGCAAATGCAGGTCAAGTGCTGAGCTTTCGTAAGAACCTGGGATGCTCCTGCTACCCTCGTCTACATCCTCAGAGCTTCTTTCTCTTTCACGGTGTTAACTCCAACAGGATTGGATGTTACCTCTTCACTTCAGAAATAGGTTCCTAAGCCACCATCCTGACAGCAAAGCCACGGAATTACAACTGTCCACACACTGGTCACTGCCAGCTCCCAAGGACCACGTGTTGAGATGTCCGTGACCCCAGCACCCTGTGACCAGGACAGGCCTCAGCACCGGGTGCGGCAGCAGGGAGGCCGGCCAGTGAGAACCCCGGGAGGAACGGCTCCACTGACCTCCAGGGTCCGCGCGTGTGCCAGCATCTGCGGCAGCCTCCGCAGCTCATTGTCACGGATGTCAAGGGTGCGCAGGCTCCGCAGTTCCCCCACGGTGTCCGGCAGCTCCTTCAGCTTGTTGTCTGGAGAGATCCCAATGGCACAGCTCAACACCCCAAAAGCCCTTCCCCAGCTTCCTGGCTGACACCCACCAGGACTCGGGGGGCAGGGAGGGTCGCCTCACTCTGACTCTGACTGAGGCTCTGTGAGGAAGAACAGGACAGTGGGGTTTCAATGACCGGGGCTCAAGTTCCCACTGCACAACTTCCTAGCTGGGTGACTTTGGAGAACCAGCTCTACCTTCCTGGGGCACAGTCTTCTCATCTGTAAAATGGGGTAATGATACCATTTGGCCTCGTAGGAACATTGAGGGGTTCCATGAGATTATGCATGTGAGGTCCTCAGCACAGTGCCTATCACGTAGTAAGGGACCAGTAAATGGGGCGGCCATTATTATTATTGTTATCCATGCCACATCCAGGTAGACTGAGGCATTCCGTGCAGAGGGTGCTTACAGCAGGAGAAAGGAAAGGACAGGGGCAGGCATTCCACTGACGCAGCAGAGTCTTGGTTCTGTCATAATCACACTGGCTGGTCTTGAGCCGCACTTGCTTCATCTGTGCCTTGGGGATAACACCTCCTCCCTCTCCAGGCCTCGCGGACTGGCCCTGAGGCTCCCTGCGCCTCCGAACGTGGAAGCGCTGCTCACTGAGTGGGAATCCTACTCAGCACCGTTCCCAGGGCTCCTGACTCGCTCTCACTGTCAGTCCACTGCTCTCACCACCATATTCATTGTTATCAATACAAGTGTCTCAGAGGCTGTCTGTCAATGCTGTCTGTCCTCCTCCCATAAGGTCCCATCTATGGTTTTCCTGGAGACAGACCGACCTAGCAGGAGGTCCATCCAGTGTCCAGTGACACCTCGGACTGGCTGCCCTCATGCTCAGTGGCTCCAGGAGGATGCTGGCGGGGACAGAGCTGACTGGGGGTCACATGGACAGGGCTTTTTGGCTCCTACCTTTCACATTGAGGGTCTGGAGCTGGGTCAGGTTCCCAATGGAACGTGGGAGATATGTCAATTGATTCTTTTCCAGGTTCAATACCTAAGAAAGGAAAAAACAATGAGACCCATCCTGCCTCGGTAGTTCAGTTGGTTGGAGCATCATCCCAATTGTACCGAGATTGTGGGATAGGGTACATATAAGAATCAACCAGTGGGTGCATGGATAAAAGGACCAACAAATAGATGTTTCTCTCTCTCTAAAAATCAATAAATAAAAATTTAAAAATAATTGTGAAAAAACGATGAGATCTCACATATGGACAATAGTGACACCCTGCTTTGGGCCAGGAATCATTTAGGCACCACATACATACACCTTTACCTTCTCCCGACAGCCTTCTGATTGTGATCCCAATTGAGAGACGAAAAAACTGAGGCTCGGACCAACGAATCCAGGTGCCCAAGAGAGTGCAGCCAGACCTTGAACCCAGTTCTGGCTGAGGTTCCATCGTTTACGCAGACCACAAAATGCACAGCAACAGTCCCGCCATCAGGAATGGGGGGAGGGGAGGACTGACAGGCTCAGGGACCCAGGAGAGGCAGCGGGTGATCAGGCTCTCGTTATCCCAGGGCAGGAAAGGGAGCTGAGCTGCACCACGCAGTGGCGTCTGCCCAGCCCCCAAGGCTGCCGCTCCGGCCGGGTGGGAACCTGGCTGGTTGGATTCCGAAGGCCGTGCTTCCTCCAGGATGCATTACGGAGGTGAACAAGGCCAGCAGGAAGACACACCATTAACATGGACACCATGGAAAGCTAAGCCTCTACTGGAAATAACATGGCAGATGAATATTTGATGAACCAAAGGATGATTATGAGTTAGAGGCAAGTATCCAAAAGTTACAAAAGAGTGAATGCAGCAATTCTATACAAACAGATGTACCAACCATGTCCCCAAAGACCCTACACCAAGGCATTCACTAAGTGGGGCAATTACTTCTGCCACGTGTTGTGTGTGTGACTTCGGGCAGGTTATAGTCATCTCTCTGGACAGTTCTCTCTTCTCTAAAAGGTGGTGGCATCACCCACATCATAGGGCTGTTCATTCAAGTCATTCAAGTGGCGAGGTGAGGGCGTGGCCCCACAGGATCACACTTCAGCAGGGGAGCCGGTCAAGCCAACAGACCCCTAATCAGTAATTACTCTGCAATTGGCGCTCTCGGGGAAACACTCTGGGGTTGGCAGAGAGGCAATTAAGGTAGATCTACTTAGATGGGAGGTGGGGGCGGACCCTCATTAAGGTAGATCTACTTAGATGGGAGGTGGGGGCGGACCCTCATTAAGGTAGATCTACTTAGATGGGAGGTGGGGGCGGACCCTCAGGGACCCGGGGGCTGAGAGCATGAGCCGCGCAGGCAGGAGGAAAGGCCCAGTGGAGAGGTGGGCAGAAGGCCAGAGGGTGTCAGGAGCTGACTGCAGGGAAGGAAGGGGAGGAGGCTGCAGACATGGGCCCCTCACAGAGGGTCTCACTGGGCTCAGAGCAGAGAAGGCATTTTAACCTAAGTGGGAAGGAAGCCGCTTCTTCCTCTGTAAAACGGGATCAGTCAGCACCTGCCTCGCGGGGAGGCTGACTGACAGACAACACAGGGAGAGGCTCAGCTGGGCCGGACGCAGCGAGCACTCGGTGGAGGGCTCCTGACAGTGACCGGAACGGAGCCCGAGCCAGTGCTGAGCTCAGCATCTGAAAAGGTGCTCGCGCTGGGCCCTCTTTTTCTGCAAAGTTGTGGAAGCTCATGATGAAATCCTCAACAGAACAAGCCCCAAAACACGGTGGGGGACAACCCAGACTGCACCAGCGAGGGCCTCCCGGGGCCGTCACAGCAAAGGGGCAGGGAGCCGGCCCGAGTGCCGCCTGTGGCGCTGCCATTGATCACCCCGGCAGCAGAGGTGGGCTTTCTGTTCCTGGGGCCTTACCTGGAGGGCCGTCAGCTGCCCTAGATCCTCGGGAAGGGCTGTCAGCTGGTTCTCATGAAGATCCAGAACCTGCGGAGGAAGACAAGCTCAGCACCTGACAGTGACCGACGGAGGCCGCCCCTCCCATCTCAGGTCTGAGAGGCGAGCGGCGGCGCCTGGGCCTCTGCTGCTGGAGCAGCGCCCAGCCTTCCCGTCCAACTACGCCATCATCCCACCTCACTTCCTCTTCCAAAGTGTCATCCCCTTTCACCCGTCAAATATGCATTTTTACTATTGAGTGAGAAAAGTATGCAAAGACATTTATATGTTAAAGAGAAAAAAAATCTTCATAGTATATATATATATATATATTTGCAAAAGAAAATGACCACTAAACATGCAATAAAATATTGATAGTGGTTCTCTGGAGTATGAAATAACATGTTTTTCCTCATTTTCTGCCTACTTGCATTTGTTAATTTTGTTAACAATGAAAATGAGTATAAAAGACATATACCAGTATGCATGCATATGTATATATACTATACATATATATGAAATGTAAGTACACATAAACATAAAAATTTAATGTTATCCCTTTCTGACTCTAACCACATTGGACAATGAAGAGAAGACAAAAGGACCCGGACTGCACACCAGAGTTAACCATAAAGACCCTGGGGTGCCTGTGTGCGGGTCTTCTCCTGGTGTGTCTACCCCCAGGCACAGCTGGTGGTGCGGGGCTCAATCCTGCGGCCACACCTCACGTACTGTGTGAGTACCACATCCCACCGCTGTGCTGACAGTCAGGAGGGATTGCCCAGGCCACCAGGCTTTCACACCCTGACCACATGACGCCTGGCCTCGTCCTGTGCCAGGGGCCTGGGACCAGCAGTCTCCCTGCTCTCTGCTAGTTCGCTTGCTATGAGTCTGTGGTTTGTCTTTCCACCCAGCAGGCAAGCTCCCCGAGGGCAGGACCTGTGGCTGGTTCTCTTGGTAACATCTGGAACTCCAGGCTACTAGACGTGCAATGAAGCATCGATAGTGGTTGTCCTGATGCTGGGAGAAGGGCCCATTACCTTGATGGTTATCAGACTTAGGAGGCTGCAGGATTTCGGAAGCAAGGAAGTGAGCTGATTGGTGTGGACAATCAACACCTGTGGGAAAGATTGCGGCATGGCTCCTTAGATTGAAGCGCATCAGGTGGGGAAGGCTGAGGGCAGGGGGGCTGGGCGGGGCAGGGTGGGGATGGGATGGGAATTTGATGACCTCAAGACCTGGAATTTCAAGGGTAAAAGGGACCTTAGAAGACCACATCTACCTTCCATTCTGGGAAGGGAGCCCCGCCCTGTTGTCCTGATCTCCGTGGGCTGCCACGATGACTAACAAGCTAATGGACACTCGGCCCGGGCTGTCACTTTAGCGAGGCATGGACTCCTGTGTGGATGCTTCTGGTGCCGACGAGCTCACTAATCTGTTGGTACGAAACACTCCTCACCTACCTTCAGCTAGATAATTTACTTAAGATTACGCTGATCCAGCTGCATTCAAAGCTGCAAAGACTTTCTGAACCATCGTTCATTACACATTTAATCTCCCCAGTGACAGAAAGAAGCAGAGTGCTCGTCATTAATAACAATGAGGTCTCGCAGGGTTTTCCCGTGGCGGGCATCACACTGGGTGCACTTGGATCTCTGTCTCTACCAGTCCCTCATTCCATTCTCACTAAGCTCCGTGAGAGTAAAGCTGTGGACGTGCTCGCTTCAGAGGTGAGGAAACCGAGATGGAAGAGTTTAAGGAAGTTGCCCAATCCCGAGGGGCAGAGCCAGGGCGTGACCTGGGGCCGTCCAATGCCACAGCCGACTCTCCCGGCTGTGAACAGCCTGCTGCAGGCTGGAAGGGTGCGAATCTGAGAGAAGGGAGACGCCAGGAAGAAAGTCCTAAAGGTCCCACCGGATTGCAATAAACATGCAATAAAGTCTCTAAAACAGGTTGGCTCACCTTCTTCTGTAGAACTTTGCACGTTGCAAAAGCCCCAAATGGAATCTAAGATGAAAAAAAGACGAGTTAATATCTTCCCTCCCTTGGTTTGTAATTTGTTTTCTGAGTGCCAGGGAGAGACGGGGTGGCAGGCACACAGTGCACAATGCTGACGGGAATGGCTCAGCCCAGGGAAAGGCTGGTGAGGAATGTGGCTTGGGGTGTGATCAGCCCTCCAGAGCAGCTGGCAGGAGACTGCCCTGCCGGGCCCACCTACCCCGTCCCCATCCTCAGCTCTATCAGGGGCAAAACAAAGGTCTCTGGCGCTTTGCAGAGTCTAGAGAAACCCAAGTTCTCCTAGGAATCTGTGGCACATTTTCTAAGGAGACTCTGACTCTTTTTTATTTTATTTTATATTTTATTGATTTTTTTTACAGAGAGGAAGGGAGAGGGATAGAGTTAAAAACATCGATGAGAGAGAAACACCGGCCAGCTGCCTCCTGCATACCTCCCACTGGGGATGTGCCCACAACGAAGGTACGTGCCCTTGACCGAAATCAAACCTGGGACCTGCCCCCAGTCCACAGGCCAACGCTCCATCCACTGAGCCACACCAGCTTCAGCTAGGCTCTGGCTCTTGAAGACTATGCTCAGGCCAAAGCTCACACCTCCATTCTTTTGGACAGAAACAACATCTAAGGAAACATCTCTGCACGAGGGCTTCCGGACTTCTGAAAGCCCAGTCCAGGGAGAGATCAGCCAAAGGACTTGGATGCATGCATGTAAGCCTAACCAATGGACACAGACATTAGGGAGGTGAGGGCATGAGTGTGGGTGTGAGGGAGCAATGAGGGGAGAAGGACACATATGTAATACCTTAATCAATAAAGAAATTAAAAAAAGGAGAAAGCCCCAGTCCACATCTGTCTTTCCCAGAGACAGGTGATTCAAGGCAAAACAGATCAAATTCACAACCAGAGCACCACCCCGATTTACCTCGGAGAGCTCACAGTTAGAGATGTCGAGAATGTCATCTGCCCCAGCTTCTTTTGCCTAAGGATAAAAATAATTTTTATGTTTCCAACAAAACATCCTTGCAAAGTGGACCCACCAGGCAAAGAAACACAGGATTGAGGATCTGCGAGGGACCGTGGGCGGCATGTGGTTCAACTAGTCCAGTCCATTCTGTAGGTGGACCATGCTCCCTGCCTTAAAGGGGCTCCAGGGCCAGCAAGTAAGAGCAAATGAACAAGAACTGACAGGTGTACCCAGTCCGTGCGGGAGGCACAGGGCGCTCCTGAGCACCTGGCGGGCAGCCTCCCCCTCGGCTCCCAGGTCACAGGTTTCCTCGGGCCCTGGGGGAGGCTGAGGGGAGGGAGCACGGCTTGGGGGGGGGGGTGGACAGTGCAGAGCCCTGCTTCGTGGGGCAGAGGCGGCGATGGGGCGGGACTCAGAGGAAGCCCACGTTCCCTCACCAGGCACATCTGGTACTCCAGGCGTTTCCGAGCCTCCTCGCTGGGTTTCCGCTTCCGGAAGAAGAGTGGCATCGTTCCTTTCCCCCCAAGCGAGCTGCACGGCCTGCGGCATCGGAGAGAACGGGGCGCCTGTCACCGCCTCTCAGCACCAGGGCGGCGCTGCGCCCCCTCCACCATCCCTCTGTGTCCCGGGCCAGGCACGGCAGGCGCTCCATACCCTCTGTTGACTAGACCAGTGGTCGGCAAACTCATGAGTCATCAGTGCCAAATATAAAATTTTTTTTTAAACTGAAACTTCTTTTAACGCCACTTCTTCAAAATAGGCTCGACCAGGCCGTGGTATTTTGTGGAAGCCACCCTCAGGGGGCCAAAGAGCCGCATGTGGCTCGCGAGCCACATGCTGCCGACCGCCGGACTAGACACTAAGAAGCAGTGAGTATGTGGTGGAAAGAGCATCATGGCAAGCCAGGTGACCAGGGTTTGGGCCCACGTTTGCCACTGGCATGCCTCTGTCCCATTCTAGATTCCCACCTTCCACAAGGGTGGGACCTCGAGAAGGTCCCTCGGGTGCTCCCCGAGGACTCCGACCGATTGGCCTGATGAATCCCTCCTAGCGGGGGAAACACCGTGAGAGAGGCATCAGCACATCAAACATGGCATGACATCAGCCAGCCGCGACCTCGGGGAGCTCAACTGCACCATCACCAGAGAGATTTTTAAAACAGAAACTAAGCAATTCTCAGGCACCTTGCCACTCTCAGTTATGATTCCACTTGATTCTCTCCACAGCCCTGTTTATGGTGATGGAACTGATGATTATGGAGTTCAGTGACCTGGTGATTCAGCCTGGATTGTAGCAAAACCAGTCTGGAATTCTGCTCTTTTGAGTCCCTATCCTGCAGATCTGCCCAGCTCTCCTGTGCTGGACTAACTCAGCACACACACAGTACACTGCTCTGAACTCAGAAGCCGGGAGCTCACTGCCTGCCCAGGATCTGCAAATATCGGACGTGAACTGGGTCAGGAAGCAAGCATCCAGGGAAGCTACGGTTAACAGCATGGGCTTTGGGGTGAAATAAAACGGGGTCAGAATCCCAGATTTAACACCCACCAACCACGTCACCTCTCTGAGCCTCAGTTTCCTCTTTTGTAAGGTGTGATAATGTTACCAACATCCGGTCCTATGAGAATCCAATGATTACATGTATGTAAAGCCCATAGCACAGTACCTGCCACATATGAGTGCTCAATACATAAATGTTGGCCACATAGGACCACACTTATTCAGGGCCTCCTACAATTTAAAGGTCTAGACACACACCCAGCCCGGGGATCCGGGGTAGTGGGGGTGGGAGGAGAGGAGAGATCACCGGTCTCTGCCCACAGGGGTGTGAGCTGTCTGGGGAGCCGGCCAAGACTGCAGAGCTGGCTCAGGCCCCTCTTGTCACTCCACCTTCATGCAGGGATGAGGAATAGTCCCAAAACAACCCTCCCTCATCCTTCCCTGATGACCAGCTCTTACCCTTTATGGTCCCCAATGACAAACCTCTTTCACCTCCTCCCCCCAAATGACCATCCCTCCCAGATCCGCTCTTCCCAACCTGCTCTCCCTATGTACATCCCTCATCCATCCCCTCCCCCGACGACCAGTCGAGATCGAGAGAACCACACCCATCTTCGCCTGGCTGCAACGGGGAGTGCCCCACCTGGCTTTGCGGGTGGACAGGACCCGACGCTCCTTCCGCGGGTGAACCCGAAGGCAGGCCGATCACTCGTGGGGCTTGGTCATGGACGCTGGGCCGCAGACCACCTGGCAGGGGCCCGGGTGGTTGCGGAGACTGGTCTCCCCCGAACGCTGGAGCTGGGGAGCAAAACTCAGAATCTCAGAAAGTCATGCAGACCAGGATGACGAAGTCTGGGACTCCGAGAACCGCAGCATTTTTGCAATTCAGAGTTCGAACGGCTCTGGGCGCGAACGGAATTGTTTTGATAACTAAAATGCACACATCGCGAGGGAGTTAAAAGGGGGGCCGGGGTCGCTGTGGCCCTGGGGTCCCAGAATGTGTGCGGACGTCTCCGGAGGGGCGGAGCTCGGGATTAGGAGACAGAACCAAGAGGGGTGATCCTCATCACAAGGAAAAATGGGGGACAGGAGGACCGGGATCTTGGGAGCTGCCCTCTCTTGTCTGCCTCCCTTGGGCGAACTGCCCTGAGCCCCCTTCCAAGCACCCAGTCACATCTTACCCGGCGCCAGGTTCGCCAATTGTCAGCTTCTGGCGCCTGCCCACAAGCAACATGGCGGCAAGGGCGTCGCTGGGAGGCTGGTCGGAAGGGGCGGTTCTCGCGACAGGAGAAGACAGTTCTCGCGAGAGCTGTGCTTTCCGGCCTATATCCGGCGCCGCTGAAAGCCCTTCCGGTCTTTCGGCTTTCGGCTCGGAGGAGGCTCAGGTGCAACTTTCCTCGGTCGTCCCGAATCCGGGTTCATCCGACACCAGCTGCCTCCACCATGCCGCCGAAGTTCGACCCCAACGAGATCAAAGTCGGTGCGTGTTTTAGGGGCGGCCGGGGCTGCGGGAAAGCGTCCGTTTTCCTAGCAGCCCGTCCGGCCCGCGGCCCCTCCGCAATTACTGCTTTTACCGCGTGGCGCTTCTAAGCTGCTGCCTACTAGAGGCCTTTCCGGAGCCGGTTCAGGGCGCCGTGAAGTCCGAGCCAAGCTCGTTCCGGGCCTCAGCTTCCCCACGTGCGGATGGGGAGGGAGGACCGGAGCACCTCTGGCGTGTTGCAGCCCGCACGCTTAGGGTAAGGTTTGTCTCCGGCGCTTTCCCCGGAAGACTGGGCCGGCTGCCAGTCCGGTGCCTCCACGCCGGTCCTGGGGTGGGCCGTCCACGCCCCAGGAGGGGTTGCCCGCCTCGCTCCGCCCCGAGGTTCTCGGTGCTGTTTGCAGAAGAGGCGAATGCGGCGTGGCCCGCCCGGAGCGATGTGGGGAAGGTGAGGGCTGAGGCTGGGACTCTGCAGATGCACTGACCGGTTTTTTTCCTCCCAGTATACCTGAGGTGCACCGGTGGGGAAGTGGGTGCCACGTCTGCCCTGGCCCCCAAGATCGGCCCCCTGGGCCTGGTAAGTCCTCGCGGTGGGCGTTTCTGACTTGGGAGCAGTTGGGCGCTGCCCTGTCACACACAGCTGTGCCTGCGGTGCCAATGGCGCTGGCGATTTCCACCCCCGAGCAGACCTCTGGGGCACGGATTGCCAGGAGGTGCGTTAGCAAGGTCATCTCTGAGCACAGAGCCCAGTCCCTGGAAGCGGTGACTTCCTCTCCGCTGCCTCCTGACCGCTGTGGGAGTGGACCTGAGGGGAGGCTGGGAGGGCCACGTGAGGAGGGTTTTATAGTTAGGTGCCTTAGTGACTTTTAGCCTGTTTTCTTTATTTCAGAGAGGAAGGGCGAGGGAGAGAAACATCAATGATGAGAGATACGTTGATTGGCTGCCTCCTGCACGCCCCATGCTGGGAATTGAGCCCACAGCCTAGGCATGTGCCCTTGACCTGAATGGAACCCAGGACTTTTTAGACCACAGGCTGGTGCTCTGTCTGCTTAGCCACACTAGTTAAGGCTTAGCCTATGTTTCCTAGTGCGGGAGATGGGCATATCACTGTTGGAGGTAACTGGGATGTTGGGTGAAGATTCTGGTGAACATGATAATAGTTTGTGTTTCTATTCTCCAAACTGACTGGTTAATGTGACCAGCTTTACTTACAAAACTACCAGTCTTATTTCCCTACTTCACCCATCTTATTGAAGTTGGATTGCCCCAAATATGAGGTGTCTTGTCTCGAGTATCCTTCCACCTTGGTCTTGCTTAATCAGTGTCTTCTTTAATCTTTTACTATTGAAAGTATTACATATGTCCCTTTTCCCCCATTGTCTGTGCCCACTGGTTATCCTTATATGCACACGATACCCAGTGTCTTAATTCCCTTCTTGGCCCTTAGCTCTGCTGGCACTACCAGGTCATGTTTCCTAGTGGTCACTAGGAAATTCTAAAGTAGCAAATCCCAGACTCCATCCCCATAGTTTGACTTGGGTTGGCCTGACACAGGAACCGGATACCTTGAAAGGTCTCCATAGGATCTGAATGTAACCAGTGTGGGAATTTTCTCCCTAAGTTATCACGTGGGTCCTTCTGAGAGGCTGGGTAGGTATCTTTGGCCCATTGTGGTCCTTGGCTTGTAGCTTACAACCCTGAACAAACCTCATCCCTAGCTTAATGTTCCCAGTTTATATCAAGCTTTACCTTGATTGGGTAAATACAGTTGTGTGCTCTCTAAGGAAGATTTGGGGTATTGGCAAGTTAGGAAGACTGGGTATGATTTCATAACCTTTGTTTTTACAGTCCCCAAAGAAGGTTGGTGATGACATCGCCAAAGCAACTGGTGATTGGAAGGGTCTGAGGATTACAGTGAAACTGACCATTCAGAACAGACAGGCCCAGGTACTTGGTTTGAGGGTGGGCAGGGGTAGCTACCCTCTGGGATTTCCGGGTGGAAGGTTTTGCTGACATGGCCACCTGCCATTGGTGGTGAGAGCACTTTTATGTGTGGGAAAAGCTTTCCCCAAGAGCAAGGTCAGACTTGCTCAGATAGTAACTCTTTTCACTGTGTGACATTTGCAAACACCTCAGTGCCTCCTTGGCTAAGACATGTTTTGGATTTTGAACATTACTTGAGAATGGACCACAAGTCCAGTGTCTGCCCCATGGTCTCCAAGAAACCAAGCTGAGAGGCAGTATCGTCTGCATTGGAGGTTGGGATAGGGCTTACTCATCGAGAATCTCTTCTGCAGATTGAAGTGGTGCCTTCTGCCTCTGCCCTGATCATCAAAGCTCTCAAAGAACCTCCAAGAGACAGAAAGAAGCAAAAAAACAGTGAGTGGCCTTTCTGTCACTGAGCAGTGTGTGAGTGGTGATGTCTGCGTAACGCTTAATACTTAGCTGCATGCTTTTTAAAGAGAACTAGAGATTTGATGGCAGCCTGCTATATAGCCAGGCAGTAGCATGAAGTGTCATTTGGGGTGAAACTGAGGAGGATGACTGAAGAGAGCGCTTCTCAGCTGGGTTACACTCTTAATTGATGAACCCCAGTAACTGAAGCGTGAAGATGGGTACAGATTTGGTTTTGCCATTAGCCACCCGCCACTGCACCTGACCACTTCCCCGTTGGCTGGTGCATTCCAGTGGTGAGCTGAAATAGGAACCCCCAGCTTAGAACAGGGTTATTCTTCTGGTGGATGACTCTGTGCCGAAGCATGGGGACAACCAGGAAATGGCTGAGGGAGGCATAATTGTGGTCTGGCCTGCTATTTGGGTTGACAAAGCTTTTTGCCCGTGGTTTCGTTTCTCGCAGTTAAGCACAGTGGACAACATCACATTCGAGGAGTGTCCAGCAGGCCCAAGATGCGGCACCTCTTTATCCAGGAACTCTCTGGTAAGAGCAGGACGACAATGGACCACCTAGTGACATGGGGGCATATGACACACACCGAGGGGCAGCTATTTCCGAGTTTAAAGGAAAGCGTTCTTTAAGACCAAATTGGGGGCATAGTCGTTTCGGGTTTGAAAATGTGGCTTAAGCAAGTGATGTGAGGACCAGGTATAATTTAATCGGGGTCCAGATGTAGTTATCAAGGGCCCATGAAGACGTGGCATTTCAGCCTTGCATACGAAATGAAGCTCTCGTAGGGGGGCCGGGGATTTATAGTCGGATATGTTGAGGACCACTGTCTGCTGTGGAACTCAAAGGGGTTTTCCCAGCGGGTGTGGAGTGATTGGAGGGCTGGCGTTTGCCCACCTAATGCCACATTTTCTTAATTGTAGGAACCCAGTAAAGAGATCCTGGGTACTTCGCCATCTGGTGGGGTGCAATGTTATTGGCCGCCACCCTGCATACATCAATAAATATAGCAACGTGTGCAGTGGATGTCCCGGCTGTAAGTGCTTCTGTATTTGTTTGCTTAAATCAATGCATGGTGAGAGCTGGAGAAGTTTTAGATTGGTCAGAGTGGGGGTGAGAGACTTTTTCCATCGCACTGATAGTATTCTTTCTTACCGTTCCCTACAGAGTTAAGAAACTACAAAGAAAAGGAACAAATAAAATCAGGTTGACAAGCAGTAACTTTTCTATTTTCCGCCTCCTTGGTGAGCTGGGTTCTTTTTTGTCAGGTGGTTGCGGACAAGTGGGGACCTGTGGAAGCACCATCGGGGCAGCCTGTGAGCTCACATAGGCAGGTTTCTGCCCTCTTTGGCCTTCATGCTCTCATGAAAGATGTCTAAGCACTTCTGTAGACAGTCCAGGAGCTCTTTTAAAAAGAGTGTCTTGGCCAGAAGGAAAGCTTGTATGTAGCCAGCCTAACTACAGGACTGATGAATTTCTGCACAAACCAATCATACGGTGGGTGGGGACCAGGGCCGGCAAAATTAAACGGGATAAGCAGACCACAACAACAGCGGGGGGTAACGGATTGGTCAACAGAGAAACCTGACCTGTGTCCTGATTTATCTGAGTTTCTGTGAAAGTGAGGGTCAAGTATACTTCTAACGTTTAGCTACACCTGATCCCGGACATCGCCTTGGCTTTAATCCAGTGGACAGATGATATCTGGTTTTCACTCACCTTTTTCCTCATCGCTGGTTTCTGTATCACCTTGAGACCTATCACCACTTTTCCCTTTAGTAGACAACAAAGGGATGCCACCTGGGCACGACTAAGCTACACCACTTGGGGATAATTAACCCAAGACCGTTGTCAGCACCCTTTAGCAGTGGCTTTTAGTCCCCCCGGGCAAACGGGTTGAGAGACCTATCTTTAGTGGGAGGTGAGGACAATAAGTGGTGAGAATAGTTGACACAGCTTCCCTTATCGCAGGCAGCCAGGCCTGGGAAATCTGTCCCCGAAGTCAAACGCATACCTAACCAGAAACCAGGGAGCACACAGTGGTTTGTAGCTGCTGAAATGAGGTCACACCAGTTGGTGTACCTGGCGGCAATAGGACCCAGGTGAGTGCAAAGGGAACTGTCCTTCAGTGGGGAAAGCAGGGCCAAGCCACCTGCCTCTGCCCCAGGGAGAGCATGGCTTCAGGTTGTCCCTCCCTGTGAGGGGGTGCCTCGTGGAGAGATTTCAGTAAATTAGCCCCCAGACACCTCAGCTTCTATTTTTCCAAGACTTAACAGCCAAGATAAGCACTAGATCAGTTCATAGAGTGGACATTGAATAGCACCTGGGTGTAGGTGTTTTTTTTTTAAATAACTGATTTCAGAGAGGTACAGGGAGAAAGAAACATCACTGATGGGATGGACTGGCTGCTGCCTGCACTACCCCCCACTGGGGATCTGGCCTATAGTATGAGCATGTGCACTTGACCAGAATATTACCTCTGACCCTTCAGTCTACAGGCTGACCCTCTATCCACTGAGCCAAACCAGCCAGTGCTGTAGGTTTACATATATCTGGCATTAAGACATGAATCATTCATCACAGACCCTCGATGAAATTGTAGCATTAAATGATTGGCCCTAGAGTCTTCCTTACTTGAATTTATTTCCTCAAATCAGATACTTCGACCATATTATAGAGAACTGCTCTCTGCTGGCCAGAATTCTTGGTTCTTTTGGTTTCTTGCAAGTAATTCAAGGAGGGATAACCATTGTTGAAATACCAGGCATTTAAGTAGGAACCAGGTCTTCCCATTTATTCGATCATACCTTTATAAACAAGGTTTCTGGAATGCTTGGTGTACAAAAAACAACTCTTAGGCCCATTGAATATAGGTAAGTAGTAATCTGAGTTGGGTTATGTAATTGACAAAGTTCTTGAGACCTAATTGAAAGTCATTAAAGGTACAAATGGGGATCTGCTCACCCTGGAAGCCATGAGCTGTAGCTGACAAGACCACTGTGTAGGGCAGGTTCCCCTTCAGGCGGATCATGGAGTGGGGGGTGAAGGCCAGGAGGAATGGGAAAGCACGGACTGCAAGCTAGTAGGGGTGTCAGCTAAGTGCACTCGTGTGGGCCCCCCCCTTCCTCACACTTCCCAGAAGCCCCCCAGCGCTCCCTGACTCTCCATGGGGCCTGAGCCTCCCTTGGTGGCCTTGCTGTGCATCTGGCAGGGGGGCTCTGTCTCCTTACCTTCTTCCCTCCAGTGCTGGAACCCCATCTTCCAGAGGCTGTGCCCAGGCCCTGGGAGACGCCCCCTACTGTCCACACCACAGCTGGCATGTTCTACCTCGCAGGTGACCTTCAGGGTGTGGCTCAGAACCTGAGAACCAGCTCAGCCCTCCCTGGCTCTTTGCCACACCCACCTGTCATTGGCCAGTCTTCATGCCTCTACCACACTGACCTGTCATTGGCCAGCCAGGTCCTCAGGTGTCTGGGTGGCTCCCCTGCTGTCCCGCTGTCCCTACAGGGCCCACCTCAGTAAATGCTTTTGTTCGGAGGAAAACAACTAACTTGGCTTGAATCTGACGCTCCCCTGGGAAGGTGCCCAGCTGTGGGTCTTGAACCCCGTAACAGGCACCACCATGCGTGTGTGATGTCCCAGTGACGGACAAAGCCCCGAGTTTCTGTGGTTCTAGACTTCCAATCTTTGAAACCATAGGAATGGGGGCCGGAAGCACGTGGCTCCCCCTCCCCCACGGCAGCCAGGTGCTGGGTCTGGATCTGCCCTTGCCTGTTAGAAAAGGGGAGCGGGGCCCAGAATCAAAACGCTGCTAAAAGCTGAGATTGACTTGATCTCAAAGGGTCATGTGCTCAGAACTGGAGGAACGCGGAGACAACAGTCCTAAAAGGGGAACAGAAACACCTGAGAACCCTCCCCACAGACTCAAGGCGATTTAGCCGGAAGCTGCGGGTCTGTGACCGGCCTGGCCAGGTCCAGGGCTGCACGAAGGGAAGATGCAGGGAGAGACTTGCTTACCGACCCCGTCAAATTTGCTGAAGGTGTTACATTATAGAAATTTTTAGGCTTAAACATGAATTTCATGTAAAAAAAAAAACATTTGCGGGAAGTTTTAATTCATTATTTTGAAGAAAAGTGCGGCTGAATACTTAGGGAAGCTTATGGTGTACATGTTCCACTGAAGATACTTGTGATGATTTCATGTGATGATTTTAATGTGAAAGACAATGTCCAGGTCAACTGAAAAAGTTTGAAGACTAACAATTACAAGCATTATTGGATGAAGATGCATGCCAAACTCAAAAACAACCTGCAGAAAGGTTAAACATTGCTCAGCAAACAATTTCTGATAGTTTACAAGCAATGGGGAAGATCTTAAAGGAAAATCAACTGAATAAAATACAAATGGAAAACTGAAAAATCATCAGTAAAATGTTGCTTCAACAGCACAAAAGAAAGTTTTTTTGCATTGAATTGAGACAGGTGATGAAAAGTATTTTGAAAATCCCAAATGCACAAAATTGGGGGTTGATCCAGATCAACCATCAACATCGACTGCAGGGCCAAATTGCTTTGGAAAGAAGACAATGCTCTGCATTTGGTGGGATCAGGAAGGTGTGGTGTATTATGAGCTTCTAAAACCAGGTGAAACCCTTAATACTGATCATTACTGACAACAAATAATCACTATGAACCACACTTTGATTGTGAAAGGACCAGAATGTGCCAGAAGACACAGCAAAGTAATTTTGCTTCATGATAACGCACCATCACACACTTCAAAACTAGTTAAAGACACGTTAAAAGATCTTGCCTGGGAAGTATTAACCCACCCGCCATATTCACCAGATCTTGCTCCTTCAGATTACTTGTTCCAATCCATGGCACACACACTTTCTGAGCAGCACTTCAAAACATACAAAGAAGTAGAAAATTGGGTCTCTGAATGGTTTGCCTCAAAACAAGAAAAGTTCTATTGGGACGGTATTCCCAAATTACCTGAAAGATGGGGGAAATGTGTAGCTAGCCATGGACGTTACTTTGAACAGCACTTTTGATATTTCTCTTGAAATTATCGTGTTTTATTTTATTACAAAATCAGCCATTATTATTTTAAAAAATATATATTTTATTGGTTTTTTTTACAGAGGTAGAGAGAGGGATAGTCAGAAACATCGATGAGAAACATTGATCAGCTGCCTCTTGCACGCCTCCTACTGGAGATGTGCCGGCAACCAAGGTACATGCCCCCAACCAAAATTGAACCTGGGACCTTTCAGTCCTCAAGCTGATCCTCTATCCACTGAGTCAAACCGTTTTCGGCCCCAGCACCATTTTTTGAAAAGAATATTTTCCCCATTTAATATCTTAGTGCTCTTGAAAATTAATTGTTCATAAACTGCTTATTTCTCGACTCAGTTCTTTTTTATTTATCTTTATGCCTACCCTTGTACCAGTACAGCACTATTTTGATTGTTTTTGTGCCAGGTTTTGATATTGCAAACGAGTCCTTTAACTTAGTTCATTTTCCAGATTGACTGTTCTGGGTCTCTCTAATTTCCATAAAATTTTAGGTTCATTTTCTGTAAGAATGTCTGCTAGGTAGGATTTTGATAGGGATTGCACCAACTTAACAATGGTAGTTTTTAGTGTACATGCCTACACTTCCTCCTGTTTTTATTACTAGGCATTTCATTCTTTTAATACTCTTGTAAATGCAATTGCTTTAAATTTCACTTTTTGATTGTTCATTGCTAACACCTAGAAATACACCTGAGAGGCAGCTATTCCAATCTTTTGCCCATTTACAGAGGTTGTCCCTTTACATTCACCTTGTATCCTGAACTTACCTTTGATAGCTTGTGGATTCCTGAACACTTGATGCATAAAAGTCATGAAGTGTTAATTCCTTTCCAATCCGGATACCTTTTTCTTTTCCCTTGCCTACGTGGCCTGACTGGACTTCCAGTAAATACTGAATGGAAGTGGCAAGGCAGACATCTTCTGGGAAAAGCAACTCAAATGCAATGAAGTTCTCTTCTGTTCCTAGTTTATCATAAAATGGTGTCATATTTTATAAAATGATCTTTTCGGTTCTAAGAGGATCATGTGGGTTTTTTCTTTGTATTAATATGGTGTATTCTGTAGACTGATTGAGGTTCCCCCATCAAGCCCTGCTGGAAGGGGAGGCATGGCCTCAGGTACCCTGGCCTGGCACCGGGGTGGGGGACACAGCCTGAGGTCTCCTCAGCCTGATGCCAGGGCCGGGACATGGCCTGAGGTCCCGTCAAGCCCCACGGGGGCGGAGGAGGGTGTGGCCTCAGGTCTCTGCTGATTGCTCGTTAAGGCTCCTGGGTACCTGGCCTCACCTTTGGGGGCAGCCATCTTTGTGATGGAGTGATAGTCAATTAGCAGATTCCTTTATTATATAGGATTTCTCAGTAATCCTACAGGCCAAGTGAGTGGAATGATATATTCAATACTTTGAAAGAAACTACCAGCCAAGACTATATCCAGCAAAATTATCTATGATGAGTAAAGATATAATAGTTATTATGTATTGGAATATTACTTGGCCCTTAAAAATGAAACCTAGTTATTTGCAACAATATTGATAGACCTTTTCTAAAAAGTATTACGTTAAGTGAAAAAAGTCAGACAGAAGAAGACGATATCCATTGATTTCACATATATATGGAATCTAAAAAAATGAACAAACATGAAACAGAGCACAACCTCATGTTTAAAGGGGAGGAAGGTCAGTGTTGAGCAGAAAAAGGAATTCAGGTGTACAAACTTTCAAGGATCCCCGATCATCCCACCACACAGTCTTCATAACACAAAATTCAGTACTATGTAACCTTACATATTCCTTTTGTCACTCAACATATGTTTCTATTGCTGCATATTCTTTAAAGCAAGGTTTTTATTTCCTTTTTCTCTCTTTTTTTTTAAAAAATATATTGATTTTGTACAGAGAGGAAGGGAGAGAGATACAGAGTTAGAAACATCGATGAGAGAGTCATCGACCAGCTGCCTCTTGCACACCCCCTACTGGGGATATGCCCGCAACCAAGGTACATGCCCTTGACCGGAATCGAACCCGGGACCCTTCAGTCCCCAAGCCGACGCTCTATCCATTGAGCCAAACCGATTTCGGCTAAAGCAAGGTTTTTATAACTTGTAAGATAAAACACTGTTAGTGGAGAACATTAGAAAATACAGATAAGCACTAGGAAACAAAAATTGTCCAATCCCACAACCCAAAGACAATACAGCTTCTACGCACACATCTTCCCAGTGCCTTTCTACCAAAGGACTCCTACTGCAGATTTCAAACATGGCTTTCAACTGCTAAGTGTCCCTTGGCTGACTGTGTTATGGTCATCCCCTCATTATTCAACATTTAGCTGTTTGCTTGTCATTTGATAGCTCTGTGAATTCTCAATGGTTCCTTAGGGTAAATTAAATAGAATTGTGATATCTAGATTTTCAAGACTCTTGGCACATGCAACCATATTGTTTTCCAGAAAGGTTCCACTGTATGCAGCCCCACCAGTGTATGAGATAACCCAGTGCTAAATTCTTACCAATGCTAGGATTACATTTTTAAAAAAATTTTAAAAAGTGAAAAATTCATGTTGCTGCATTGTTATCAGCTTTATGTTTTTTTTGTGTGTGTGTGTGTTCTTTGTTAATCCTCACCCAAGAAAATTTTTACATTTTTTATTTATTTATTTTGCTTTTTAGGAAGGGAGAGGGGAAGACAAAAACATCACTGAGAGAGAAACACATCAATTGGTTGCCTCCTGCACAAGCCCTTATCCGGGCCTGGGCGGGGAGGAGCCTGCAACTGAGATGTGCGCCCTTGGACCAGAATCAGGACCCTGTGGTCCCCAGGTCAATACTATCCACTGAGCCAAACCGGCCAGGGCTGTTATCAGCTTTTTAAACCAGGTAAGCAGAGTGCCCAGAACCACACTGAGAACTGTGAGACTAGGACAGCTTGAGACACCACCTACATGGTAGCATTTGGCAAACACAGACCATGAGCAGAAAGAAAGAAAAATCTCGTATGAGGCGGAGGATTCGGTAAACTCACCCCTTGGCAGTTAAAAGAAGGAGGGCCTTGCAGGTGAGCATCTAAACCTGATGGATCCTGGGCACATCCCCTGCAGGTCCTGGGGGAGCCGCTGGGGGGCAGCATGGCACTGGAGGCTGAGCAGGCCCAGAGAATGAACCAGCACACACACCACCTGAGCTGGGAGACAGAGCAGCTGTCAGAAGCCACCAGCCATATCCTAGAGTAGGAAAAAGAAAACCAGACCCTCCAGGGCACAGTCCAGGAGTAGGTGCCTCCGTGGCCCTCAGGAATGCAGCATCAACTGCACGGATCTGCAGGAGGAGAACCAGCAAATCTGGAGCCAAATTAACACAGAGTTGCAACTCCAGGAGGAAAAAAGACAACAATCAGCACTTGGAGACCATCAACAAAGTGCAGTGCCAGGCCCTCATGAATAAGCACAGCCGCCACAAGACCCTGCTGCATCGCTCCCTGGAAATGGAGAGCAAAGCATTCAGGCTGAGGGAGCAGGACCAGCTCCAACAAGAGGCAGCACTGCGGGAGCTGAGGAAGGAGCTGAACACTGAGGAAGAAGTTGCAGGAGTTGAATGCTGGGGGACAGCATGGCACTGGAGGCTGAGCAGGCCCAGAGAATGAACCAGCACACACACCACCTGAGCTGGGAGACGGAGCAGCTGTCAGGAGCCACCAGCAGTATCCTAGCATTGGAGCAAAGGAAACCAGACCCTCCAGGGCACAGTCCAGGAGTTGTGGGGTGCCTCCGTGGCCCTGCAAGAATGCAACGTCAAGTGCACGGAGCTGCAGGAGGAGAACCAGCAGCTCTGGATGCAGATACAAAACTTGGAGATGCAACTCCAGAAGAAAAAAGACAAGTCGGCACTTCGGAGGCTCTGAAGCAGGCACAGGAGGCGAACGCCCTGGAAGAGAAGAAGAGGCCTCCACAGGAGGTAGACAGAGTCAGCTTCTGGAATCAGCTGATGAAGGGCAGCAAAAGGACCTCTTCACCCTGAGCCAAGAGATGCAAACCTCCCTATGCAGAGGGTCCTGCAGCGGGAAAGTGAGGCTCTTACAGGCGCAGTACGAAGGGAGGGGCCGAGGAGGACCTGCAGAGCATGGAATCTCTCTGACGAAGCTAAGCGGCCAGTGTGAGGTGCTCTCCAGGGAGAAGGAGAACTTCGAAGAGGAAAATCATAACCTCAGAAGGCAGAGTCAGACGTTGTCCAAGAACAAGAAGCTCTCAAAGAGAATGTAGAAAAAGTAATTTCTTATCAATAATGAAAGAGGAGGAGGAGGAGGAAACATCATGGATTTCTGCGAGTCCCAGGTTCCTGTTCCTAGGAAGAAAAAGTAGTGGATTCGAGCCACAGCCTTCCATCAAATGTAAAAACAATGATTCTAGTCTACAGCCATACCACCCTGAACGTGCTATTTATGTATTGAATAGCCATTAATGCTGATCTCAGGATAGGTGTAATACAATGAGATGTTAATTAAAAAAAAAAAAAAACGATCTCGTCTGATCTCAGAAGCTAAGCCGGGTCGGGCCTGGTTCATACTTGGATGGGAGACTGCCGGGAATACCAGGTGCTATAGGGTTAAAAACACACTCAACACACACACAAAAAAAGAACACAGCACGGTTCTAGAGAACCAGCAAAGCCAAACCCAGACAGCCCTCTCAAGCCACTGGAGGCCACCCCAATCATACTCATTCTGGGTGGAAGAGCAAGAAGCCCCCAATGGGCCACCTCCAAAAGGTTATCTATCTGGGGATAACCATTTAGCTACTTGGTGCAAAAAAGAACAAAAGAACAAAGACAACCCTCCAGCAGCCGGCCTGGCATTGCCTGAAATGCTTTCGTCCTTGTCTTCCTTGAATATCTCATCCTTTCTAAATAGGCTCTCCTGTTCCAGACACTGGACATCCTTTCCCGTTTACCAGTGCCCTCACCAAATGCCCTCCCTCATTTATGAAAACAAACAAGAAAACCCAAAAAGAAACACATTCTTCGAATCAATTAAACTTGAAAGGGGTGAAATTTCAGTGAGTTAGCAGCTATTAAAGTGTATGCGCATTTCTTGGAACTCTACATTCTGTCCAACTGGGAGTGATTCTCCTCCACTGGAGTCTCATCTGTGTGTACATTTGGGGGTGGTAGGTTGCCCCTATACTTACGGTCAAAAAGGCAGTTCACTCTTTCCTACGAGAGTCATTATTTGTTTTGACTGTGTGCACATTTTTTGGACCAGCCTATGTTTACATTCCATGGGGAGTCATTCAATTCCATCAGAAGTCTGACCTCTGTACCTTTTTTGGGGGACACACTTTGCTTACATTCTATAGGAAGTCATTTGTTTACATCCGGGTCTCACCTGCTGCTGTGTGTATCTGCTAGGCTCCTGACACATTGTTTCCTCTTGCTTACTAAAGGTGCTCATTGTGGGATGCACTAAACATGGTGCTTTGGGTTCTATAAAGAACTTCTCTGCTTGAGCTAAAGTACTGAGAAAGAAATGTTAACATGGTCAATTTTCTGAGTGCATTGATTTGTGTATTAAATAACCATTGATTCTGGAACACAAGGACAGGCTTGTAATACAATGAGATGTTAATTCAAAAAAAAAAAAAGGAAAGTTGAGAGTAATGTGAGCTAATGTCGCTGAGAAGCCATCTTGGTCATTATTCCTGGTCTAGAACAGAAACATAAACCACTGGGTGAAAAGAAGTGAAGCATCAAACCTGTGTGCATTTGAGTTCAGCCAAACTCCTCCAGCCTTTGGCATGTCAGTCTTCTCTCCTCTTCTCCCAGAGGAACTTATTTTAAATTGCCTTTCTAAATCTTTTTCAGACTGGAAGACTACCTGAAGAATCATTCCAAAACCCAAGGGTAGAGATACCCCCAGTGAAATCAGATCAGAGGAACTGTGGACAGGGGAAGAGCTTCCATCTGCGACCAGTCCTTTCTCCACAACAGAGAGTTCCTCAAGAAGTGAGACTCCATAAATGTGAAATACAAATGAAGAGCCTCAGGAGGGATTCAGACATAACTGAGTCTCACAGAGCAGAACCATACACATGCAATGACTGTGGCAAAGCCTTCTGTTACTGCTCTTCCCTTTCAGGGCATCAGAAGAGCCACACTGGATGAGGGCATAAAAGGATGGAGGAATTGAACAGGAACGTAAGTGGGCT